TTTATGTACAGCCATTTAAACATGTTTAAAGAAAAGTTATGACCAACCTAGATAGCATATTGAAAAGCAGAGACATTACTTTGCCAACAAAGGTCTGTCTCGTCAAAGCTATCATTTTTCCAGTGGTCCTGTAGGAATGTGAGAGTTGGACTATTAAGAAAGTTGAGTGCTGAAGAACTGATGCTTTTGAACTGTGATGTTGGAGAAGCCTCTTGAGAGTCCCTTGGACTGCAAGGAGATCCAACCAGTTCATCCTAAAGAAAATCAGTCCTGAATATTCATTGGAAGGACTGATGCTGAAGCTGAAGCTCCAATACTCTGGCCACCTGATGTGAAGAACCGACTCATTGGAAAAGAGCCCGATGCTGGGAAAGATTGAAGGCGGGAGGAGAAGGGGACAACAGAGGATGAGATGGTTGGATGGCATTATCAACTCAATGGACATGAGTTTGAGTAAACTCCAGGAGTTGGTGATGGACAGGGAGGCCTGGCATGCTGAAGTCCATGGGGTCACAAAGAGTCAGACACGACTGAGCTACTGAACTGAACTGAACTATGGGAAGGCTTCCCTGGTGGCTCAGATGGTAAAGTATCTGCCTGCAATGTGGGAGACCTGGGTTCGATCCCTGGGTCAGGAGGATCCCATGGAGAAGTAAATGACAACCCACTCCAGTATTCTTGTCTGGAAAATCCCATGGACGGAGGAGCCTGGTAAGACATGACTGAGCAACTTTACTTTTAACTATGTCAGGTATGAGGAAAACACCTTTGAAGCCCTTCTAGAACTTCTAGTCCAAGGAGACAATCACATGAAACACAGGGCAGCCCAAACTCTGAAGGGCAGGGGTGGCACTCTAAGGAAACTTAACTCTTGGACTCTAGGATTTTTTTTTTTTTAACCAAGACTGGTGGTGACAGAACCTCATCCAACAATCAGACAAACATCAGACAATTTTTTTTTGCCAACTGCATTTTGTAATCAGGATGCAACTGCCCAGATCTGCCCAGAGTTAAAGTATCCATGATTTTGACTACAAACAATATTCTTTGTTCTGTGAGGTTAAAATATATACAATGTAAGAAATTGAATCTTGTATTAAAAGGCTTTATAAAATTGCACTGGAGTCTCACCCCAGTGAGAAAGGGTCAGGAAGTCCCCCTCAAGAAGCTGAGGTGGTACTTTGGGCTTTTCCCTCACGTCAATGAAATTACACTTATTTGGCTTTGGGAACCTTTTCTAAATGTACATATACAATGTGTATGCCGTTGCAAAAGTCAAGAAGGGCACCTTCACCACTGGCGGAAGTTACCACTGGAGGAAACTGGGACAGAGACTGGGGCAGGCAGGGGTGGCAGGGTTGTGCCAAATGGGGTGGGGCTTTTGCTTTTTCTGTATTCTCTGATTTTTTTTTAACATGAGAGCTCATGTATTACTTGTGCAGGTTTTTAAAATAAACAGGTATTAACCTCCTCCAACCTGCAACTTCTTTGTCTAAAATAAAATAGTAATACAATGTTATATGTCAATTACATAAATATAAAATAGAAAAACAAAGTTATATTAACAGGGAATTACAGCCATTCTCTTGTAATAACTTTTAATAATCTGTGAAAATACTAAATACTATGCTGTATACCTGAAATATAATATTGTAAGTGAAGTATACTTAAATTAAAAAATAAATACATTAGAAAAAAAAAAAAAATTATATAGAAACCTTGTTTGTATATAATAAATTGACTGCTTATAAAGCATGGTTCCATTTCTTTAAACAAACAAAAGCATTAATTAATTGAAAGTTAATGTTCATATAATTAAACTAGCAAATATTCAAATGTCATGCTTGTAATGATAATTTGTCATGAAATGAATATTTGAAAGAAATTCAGTGCATGACAATTCAATGAATATATAATTCTCAGNAAGAGGCACAGTCTTTCAGGCCCCTGGCCCTTTGCTCACATGGCTCCCTTTGTTCAAAATACCTCACTCCTTTCGCCCAACCAGAAAGCCTGCACACAGCTTTTGAATCCAGCTCAAGGCCACTACTGTTGTGAAGATTTACCCAGTTTCCTCAGGTAGTGCGAGTGTCTTCCTCTCAGAACCAGAAGGCTGGTGGCTCTCAATTGCCAGCTTCAAATTTGCTGCACTAGATTAATAGCTGGAATTTTGTGTCAAGCACTAATCCAAGCCTTTCACTATAGTAAATACTTCATTTTCCCAACAACCCAATGATGTGAGTACTATTATTAAAACCATCTTACAGATACAAAGTCAAGGCAGAGAGAGGTTGATAATCTGCCCAATCACACAGCTAGCAAGTGGCAGCACAAGGCCTGTGCCCCAGGGCAGCCTGGGATCTGAGTTTGGGATCTTATCTCCTGCTCCATGCCGCTCTGCACCTCCTGCCCTGCAACTCCGTGGCTGCACATCTGGCTCTACCATCCACAGAGCTCAAGGGCAGCCGGCACCAGGTCTGGCCTGAGCAGGCAGTGATCAACATGCCTCCACTGCCTCAACCAACATGCCCTCAGCCTCCTGTCTCTCGAGGCTCCAGACACCCCCGGGCTGTCAGCCAGGAGCAACCCACGCTCTGAAGCTAGCGAGGCCCTGGGTGCTGGTCTCCAGTCCCCTAGTTCCTACAAGTCCTCTCCGTCTAATCCTTTCCCATGCTCCAGGGCAGCCCTCTCCTCTGCCCCAACCTCCCACCGTAGCCTACTGTGCCCCCTGGCAGCCTGGTTCTGGAGAAAACCCAATCCCTCCCCAACGCAGCTTCTTCCAGAGACTTCCCTTCTGTTCCCCATCCTGAAGGAAAGCTGGCTATGCCTTTCATAATTCTGGGAGACAACTTTCGGGGTACCCGCCCACTCGATACAACTCCCAGAAGCCACAGTTTTCCACTGTATGACCTATCCCACTTCCTGCCCCCAGGCCATCATTAACTGATGGCTGTGTGACCCAAGTCAACCCAACGAGAAACTTCCCGGGGTATAAGGATTCAAGATAGGAGGGGGTCTGTCTGTGGGGCAGACATATTCTGCTGGAATGGATAGGAGAGAACGACCATGTGCAGCAGAGAATGACCCACATGGGAAGACAAGAAAGTCGAGATCTAAAGGTGTCAAGGCCCCTTTCTTGGGATCCACCAGACCAGTCCTCTCCAGGCTCCGGCCATCAGACCACACAGGCCTCTATCCAGTCGTGTCCTTGGTAGCTCGGATTCTCCTACCATTCTCTAAAGGCCTTCATCTTCCTCTCCTCTCTCTCCTCTGCCATCTATGTACCTAGAGGGTCCTGACAGCCCACCTATTCACCAGATTCTCAGTCACTCATCCTCAGTTACCCTCCACCAGTCCCACACCTGACCTCATCACCCCCCTCCACCTCAGACTGTGACTCTGACCCCTACCCTCTGACCACAGTTCTCCAGGTCCTTTCAGTTCACCCCATCATACCTGTTCAATTTCCCATCCTCTATCATCCTCCAGCCCATCACCTTCCCCCTAAATTAACTTCACTCATGGTCGTTTCAGATCACAGGGGCCCTCGCTTTGTCCTCTCCTATCACACTACTTTCTGAAGCCTTCCACTAGCCCTACCTAACCTGGAATCCACCCATCTCTCCTCCTTCACCTCAACGTTCCAGGCTCCACCCGTGCCCCCTCACGCTCAGAAATGTCCTGCCTGGGACTTCCCTGGTGGCCCAGTGGCTAAGACTCTGTGCTGCCTAGGCAAGGGGCCCAGATTCGATCCCTGGTCAGGGAACTAGATCCCACATGCCGCAACTGAGTTCACATGCCACAGCTAAAGAGCCCCAGTGCTACAACTAAGACCCAGCAGAGCCAAATAAATAAATTACACACACACACACACACACACACACACACACATAAAGTAAAAAGAAATGCCTGCCTTCCTACTAAAAGAGGAAAAGGTGGCCTTCAGGCTAAGACCCCACAACTTCCCGTCTCCCTATTTACAGAGAGATCTGCATCTGACCTACAGAGTCCATCCTCCACCTCCCCAGGTGGGCCACTCCAGAAAGTATTCCTCTCTCTCTTGGTCCCTCCACTTGCTCTCTCTTCCCTTCAATGTACGAACACACTCAAGTCTCACCTACTTTGAAAAACTAACCCTCCATCAACCCTGCACTTTCTTGTCATCTCTCCAATACCAGCTGGGAAGCCTTAACCATCTCACTAAGCCTCACATTCCTCATCTGTAAAATGGGAGGAGCAGGGATGCTGTGAGGAGTAAATGAGAAGGTGATATTTGCAATGCACTAGGCCTAGAGCCTGGCACACAGGACCTACTCGAGAAACGTTCACTAACGTTAGGTACCACCCCCCTCAACTCTCTTCTTCCACAAGCATAGCTTACCCTTACCAAAAGAATGGTTATCTGTCACTTGCCCTCACTCCTTAACACCCTCTAACTTGAGCCACACTACTGAAATTGATAAGGTAACTTTTATCAATTTCATAAGTTGGTGACCTCCTAACTGACAAATCCAACACTCGCTTTTCCTTTTGAGGCCTTCCAAAAATACAGGCCACACTCTCCCTTTGATACCCTGGGCTTTCTGGTTTCCTTCCCACCTCTCTGGTCATTCCTTTTCAGTCTCCTCTGGCTCCACTCTGCCCACTATCTCTTATAAAACAGTTAGGCTCTGACCCCTTTCTCTCATTCCATACATCCTTCCAAGGTATACACATGTACTCACATCCATACTTACAAATACCTATCGCATTTCCCACCTACTATTCTCTAGAACTTCAGATCTATTGTTTTTTAACATTTTATTTCATACTGGAATATAGTTGATTAACAAGGTTGTGACAGTTTCAGGTGTAGAGCTTCAGATCTATTGATCCAACTGCCCATTGAATGTTCCTACCTGGAGGTTCCAGAGGCACATGAAACTTGACCCCAATTAAATGCATCACACTTCTCCCTAGTTCTGGTTTTCCTTGAGTTTCCTTTCCTGGTAAGTAGTAGGTTCTAGCTCCTAAATTTCTCTCAAACCCTCCTCCCCACTTCCGTCCCCTGCACCCCATCCTCACTGTAACCACCCTGCTCTGGTTCAGGCCCTTCGCTTACCGGCATCCCTTCAAACCTTCTCAGGAGCTGTCCCACTTCCTTCTTCACCTCTTAGAAATCCTCCCACTTCTGCCAAAATGATCCTCCTGACATGCAGATCTGATCACATCCGCTTTTTCTTCCTACCCTCCCAAAGAGTACTACGATTAATGCCTCCTGACCTGCGACTCCATCAGCTCTTCTGCCACCCAAGGACTTCAAGAGGCTGAAAGGTGTCTTAGGGTTAATCAGTGCCTCGATTCCTCCTCTCACGGGATCTGGACAAGAACAGAGTGCACCAATGCTGAAAGGTGTTCCTGTGCTCACTGCCTGTCTAAGACCACAAATTCCCAAGGTTCGAACGAGATCTCCAGAAGGCCACACACATCTCTAGAGCGGAACTTGAAAACGGAGTTAATTCCGTCATGAGAGCAACCCAAATTACCACCACTGCTTACCTTACTTACTGCAATAGCCTCTTAATCTCCCTGCATACACTCTGGCCCCTCTCCAAGTTTTCCCTGCACTGCATCTTTTCAAAACATGGATATAATCACATCAGTCTTCTGATGGCACTCCACTGCCCTCAACATCAAGCCCAAATTCCTAGGGAGGCTTATTTATTTCCCATGATTCAGCCCTTGCTCATCTCTTCAGTCTAGGCTACCCTAGCTTCCCCTTACTCTCACTCGCCAGGTTAGCTTTCCTTTTTATCTTTGAGCACACCATTTCCTCTGCTTCAGGGCCTTTGCACACGCTCTCCTGCCTGCCTTGGCTTGATTCTAGCCCAGTGGTGCTTCAGCAGGGAAGACTTCCTCACAGATGTGCTCAGGTTCTCTAAGTACCCAGACTTTCTTTCATTGCTCTTACAGTTTGTAGTCACAGAGTTTCTTAATTATTTGTTTAAGGAGAGACTAAATGTTTCTTCCTACAGATAGTAAGTTTCACGAGGGTGAAAACAGGGCCTGTTGTGCACACTATCCTATCCCTCACCCCCATTCAATAAATAAGTATCTACTGCCTAAAGCAACAGTTCACTCAGCAAGATATATTACATGTGTGATATAAAATGACAACTGAACGTACAAATCCACAAAGAAAAGCAAAGATAGAATTAACTTCTGAGTTCACGTTGTTAATAGTTATCACCTATCCAATCTGTCCATTTAAACCCAGGTATATACTACACATTAAGGAAGAGGCTTAAGAAAAAAATGAGAAGGAGAAATTTGCTAAATTGGGAATTCTCTCCTTAACTTATTTGAGAAGAGACCATTCTGTTTTTAGTAGCCAAACACCTGGTCCAGCTAAGAAAACGGTTTCTAGCAGTGTGATCTGAGCATGTCAGGCCATAAATGTCTCCAAGGGAGGAGTGACAGGAGATGGTGACTCCTGGCCAACTTTGCATGTTTTCCAAAGTCACACGTGTGCATACAATTAATAAATGTCAACCCCACCGTTCCCATGAAGACAGACACACACATACACAAAGACTCTGACAGCAGCTCCCCACCACCTACCTGCAGGTCTCGCAGGAGACTTCTCCTGTTCGGGGAGAGGTGTGACTGGGGAGTCTTCAACCCTCTCTGGCTCGGGCTCCTCTGCAGGTGCTGACAGGGGCGTGGGGACATCTCTGGGGGGTGACGATGCTGCGGGTATGGTTGCTGGCTGCTCCTCTTCCTCTTCTTCTTCCGAGGAGGACTCAGATGAGGAGGAGGAGGACGAGGATGAAGACGAAGAGGATGAAGAAGACGAGGAGCTGGAGGAACTGCTGCTCTCAGAGTCCGACGTGCTATCATTCTCACCATCTGAGTCAGCATACAGAGAACATTTGGAGGACGAATCGCTTTCCTCGTCCTCGCCTGGAAATCCAGAAGGGGGAGTCAGGCGAGGTGAGAAGACCCCTCACTTAGTCAAGCTGTGGGTTCATTCACTGAGTCACTACTAGGGATATGTGAGGCTCTGTGCTAGGTGCTGGGGACTCCTAGCCACAAGGAGTTGGAGAGGCACACAATTTGCCTACATGTGATAAATTCCAGTATGAAGGGCTGGTTAGGGGGGGATCACGGTGCAGGCAATGGGAAGGCCCAGATTCTGCCTGGTGGATCAAATCAGGGAAGACATCTTTGCGAAGGAAATGCTGACATCAAGAAGGACAAGAAGGAGTTCGCCCAGCAGACCCGGGGGCTGAGTGGGGATGTCACAGGTAAGAAACGATGGTGCCCTTGGAAGAGATACTGAGGCAGTAAGACTGACAGGAACTGGTGACCACGTGGATGTGAAGGGGTCTGCACCCCTCACTCTTAGCAGATGACTCTGTCCTCTACTCTCCTCAGAGGGAGGCTCTCAGACCATCGTTCTTACAATTCTGGCCTCTGAAATGGCACCACTCGGAGGCATCTCTTCACCATCAGTTATAACAGAGCTCATCTTTCCCCCATTCCCTGAGCCTGTTCCTCCTGACCCCACTAATCTAGTTCATTTTCTTCAAAGCAAGTCTCTCCACTGCATGTGCTGCTATTTGACCACTTGTTTGTTAAGTGCCCGCCTCCCCTCGGGCTAATCGCCAGCTTCAGAAAAGCAGGAAGCATCTCTGCCTTGGTCACTGCTATGTCCCTAATACCTAGAACGGTGCCTGGCTCAGAACAGGGGCTCAGCATCTATTTCTGAAGAAAGGAATGAAGAGAGAGACTGAACCATGTATCCAGGTCTCAGTAAATGCGGAAGAACAGACACATGTTCAACTGAGGCACAGAGTTGGGTTCAATGACAGCAGCTGCAGGCAGGGGAAGAAGCTGACAGAGCTCGGTGGCCCGGCCTTAAGGGAAGAGCAGTGCCCGAGGGGAAAAGGCATGGTGTGGCGGCAGCAGGGGCAGCAGAAGAAGGTAGCCCCTTTATCTTGGAAAGAAAAATAGGCTGTGCTAGGTTGTCTTCATGAGAGGGCTTGTTTCAGAGGAAAGCAGGAGGGAGTATTCTGGGTGTTGTTTGCAGTGGCCCAAGGGTTCCAAAGAATGAGGCTAAAAGGCAGTTGTTGTGGGGAAGGCAATGACGGCCAGTCCATCAGTGGGCGGGTCACACGGCACGGGAAGGGCTGGACGGGTGGGGAATCTCTCCCTTCCCAGAATTCACCTGCACACCCTGGATGCTTACCGTCTGATGCTTCTGTCTCCTTCTTTGCAGCATCCATGGCTTCCTCACGCTCTTCATCTTCTTCATCTTCCTCTTCATCCTCCTCATCCTTAAGGAAAGGGATAACTGGGAATTAACAGGAGAAGGACAACTGGTGCTCTAGGAAGCGTGGCCACCGGGGCTCCAGCGCAGAGAGAGCCGGCTGTGACGGCAGGAACTCAGAGCGCCGGCTCCTCACCTTCTCTGAGGAGGACTCCTGGGATGCCTCCTCCCCCTCACTGTCCAGAGCAAAGGACTTGCGGTGCTTGCCCTGGCTCTTGTTTCGCTCTTCATCTCGTTTTGGGGGCTTGGTCCCCGGACGGCCTGGCTCTCCAACCTCCTTCTCTCGCTCAGCATCTAGGCCCAGAAGAGGGGTAGGTAGTGCAATTTACCACCAGCAGTAACAGCCCCATCTGGTGAAAGGAACTCTGCACACACCACCGGGCTTTCTTACAGTCCCACCACACAACCTTGTTTATAGACAAGAAGCTGAGGCTCAGCAGAGAAACACACAAACTGCAGAGTTCCTTCACACTTCACACAGTTTTAGACACACCGAACCCATTTATCTTTCATCCTCTTCTGGGCTGGGTGAAAGAGGGAGGTGATTTCTTTCAATATCTGGCCCAATAAAGTCGTACTAAAGTCAACAGGTCTCCAGGGAAGCAGATCAGATTTAGTAAGGAAGTTTCCCAGCCACGGAAGCTGTCAAGCTATATAGCTCAGACTTAGACAGACTGGTAAGAAGGGTGCAAGCATGCTTAAGCATTAGATGGTAACTTTGGATGGACAGCCTATCTAAATTCACATCTCAAAGAGCTACTTTATTATAACTTTGTTTCAAATCTTCACTTGGCTTCTTGCCCTCAAGACACCTTCACCCCCTTCACCCCTGCCTCTTGCTTTTCTATCAGAATCTACAGCCTGCCAGGCTCCTCTGTCCACGGAATTCTTCAGGCAAGAATGCTGGACTGGGTAGCCATTCCCTTCTTCAGGGAATCTTTCCGATCCAGGGATCCAACCCAGGTCTCCCGCACTGTAGGCAGATTCTTTACCATCTGAGCCACCAGGGAAGGCCATCAGAATCTAAGCAGACTGTTTCCCCCTTTTTCCTTCACCTGACCTACTCACCATCTTCATCTTCCTCAGCTGGAGTAGAAGGCCGGGGCCTCTTTTCCTCACTGGCCTCTGAAATTTCTGAAGGCTCTTTTCGCTTTACCTACAAGATGAAAAGAGATGGGGCCGTTTAAAACCCAAACACTCATGGTTCCCAACCACCCTTATTCTAAGGAAGGGAACTCCGCTTTCAACTCTCTCCCCACCCAACGAGGCAAGATCATAGTTCTGGGTACTTTGAAAGAAGGCAGCCGCAGGGCCCCTCGCAGTCCTGATCCAAAGGCGAAGGCTTCAATGCCGGTGGTACCGCCACTCTTGGCCCAGTCTACGAGGGACAGCAGGCCTGGCTCTTTGAGCTTTGTCTTCTCTTTATCCTCCTCCTTGGCTTGCTGTTTAGCTGCATTCTGGAATGGCTGCAGGCAGTAGGGGGACTGAGCCCCAGAGCCCAGGTGCTCCCTCCTGCCTCCTGCCTGAGAAATACTCCCAGGCCCCAGGAATAGAGAAAGGCGTCCACTCATTTCTCCATCTGACACACATCTACGCCACACCTCCCTCCACCAGCCCCCGTACAGGCACCTTCTCAAAAGTCCGCTCACTCCGTCTATCAACCTCACAGAGCTGCTGCTATTACTTCCACTCCACAAATGGAGACACTGCAGAGTGAAGCCCGGAGAGATTTAAGGGTTTTGTCTACCGCAAGGCAGTGGTGGAACCAGGACAAAGCTCTTCTGACTCCTGCCTTTTCTACTGTTACGTGTACCCTCCAACTCCCCTGTGCTCAGCTCTATGGACCACTGAGCGCCTAGTCTCTCCACTCATCCTGACCACCTCTCTTTTCTAAGCTGTGAAGCCTGAAGAAGCCGGAGGTCTATTTCCACCAATGGAGCCCTGGTCTCTCCAGTCCCAGGCACTGGCCCTCACCTTGGCCTTCTCTTCCTTGCTCTCCCACCACTGGTCAAAGGCTCCAAAGGCCACATTCTCCACCATCTTGCGGTTGAGGTCTCGCTGCATGATGCTCTTCATCTCCTGGACCAGGGTGGCTAGTACACGGCCCACGGTGCCTGCCGATGGTAGGGCCTTGCCCTCGGCCAGCTCTGCTTCCTCCCGGGGGGGCAGCCGTGCCTCTTCTCCTGAGACTGAGGAGGGCAGGGGCTCGGCTGCCATGGGCAAAGGCAGGTGGTAGGCCTCCCTAGAGTATGCCCCTCGGCCTTCTTGCCCTTGGGCGTACAGAGCATATGGTAGGCCGTAGGCTGCCTCTTGGTGGGGTGGGAATGGGAGGAAGGCCTCCCCAAAGGCCCCACCGGGGGGACCCGCTGAAGCTGCGGTCAATCCTTTGCCCTGCCGCAGCTGGTGGAGCCGAGTTAACATCTGGGTCTGCATCTGGAAGGACATGGGCATTCCTCCCCACTGAGCCCCGAGTCGATCCATGAGCTCTAAAGAGTTCACAAAGTCATAGATGTGGGGGGGTGGTGGAGGAGGAGGGGGGTACTCAGGAGGTGGCGGCCCATCGGGTCTCGGGGGGAGGAGGTAGGCAGGCTGGTGGGGAGGATAACCAAGAGGAAGGGAAGCCAGGTAAGGAGGGGGTGGGGGAGGTGGCGGCGGAGGGGGCGGAGGTTGCTGGGGGGGTGTTGGGGCCGGAGGGGGTGAGCCGCCCCTGTCGTCGTCGGAGATTTCCATGTCCTCTCCAGAAGAGCATGGAGAAGCCTGTGGGGCGCAGAGGACGGTCACAGGAGGCTACCACCAGTTCTGTGGACCTTCCCCAAAGCTCTGTTCCCTTGCCCAGTTCCCATCCTTCTCCCCCTGAGCCCAAGCCTGCTCTCCCAGATCCCAGGCACTTCTGTGGGCAGACCCCAAACTCACCTGGCTCTGTCCGTTGGCCTTGGGCGACTCCCGGGTAGCTCCTGGTTCCCCACTCCCTGTAGGTGCCACATCCTCAAAACTTGCCGGGGCCGGAGGGGGTGTGCAGGGCCCATGACCTGGCCCAGAGGGGGCCTCGCTCCCTGTGTCCCGAGCCCCCGGGCCCGTGCTGCTGTTCTCTTCTTCTTCCTCGGTGTCAGAGGCCAAGAAGGAAAACTTGGAACGCTGCTCCTTCAACAACATCTCAATGCGGGAATCCAGGCTGCTGTGCTGAGCAAAGGGCACGCTCTCGTTGGTGGTCTCTGGGGCTGGGGAGCCGGAACGGGCAGGTGAGGCTGGGCGCGGGGAGGTTCGAGCTTCTTCTCTCTCAGGGCTGGGCCCCCCGCCGCCTCCCCCTCCACCAGGTTCTGGAGGCTCTGGGGGCGGAGCTTCGGAGGCAGGAGGCCGGTAGTCCTGGTCAGCAGGCCGGTTGGGCTCGGGGGGCAAGTAGGAGGTGTAAGATGGCGTGAAGCGCTCAGCGGTATTTTCAGCAAAAGAGGCCCCGGGGGGCTCATCCCGAGTTGCCCGGCGGGGTGGGTAGGAAGCATGGCGTTGGTAGCGATTCCAGCTTTCGTAATACGCTGGGTAGTTTGAGTCCGAACCGCGAAAGTGAGAGGATGAGGAAGAAGAGGACGACGAAGAGGACGAAGACAACGAGGAGGAAGAAGAGGAGGCGGCGGCAGCGGTGGCTGCAGTGGTGGCGGAGATGGCGGCAGAGGTGGTCGTGGGGGCCGAAGAGGCGGAAAAATGGCGGCGGGAGAAGGAATCTTGGTAGCTGTTCTCTGACCTCCGGGGCTTGAAGGAGGTTGAAGTGGTGCTGGAGGAAACGTGCAGCGGTTAGTGGAGTCAGCTCTGTATGACCAAACCCCACTGCCCCAGCCATCAGGACCCAAAGCCCTCTACACTGCCCCCAAAGGGAGATCTAATGGCTGTTGGGTTCCTAGTCACAGAGTAAATTCCCCGAGGACGGGGTGTGTTGGCTGAATCCACAAGGAACCAAGACCAATTATTCCCAACTCCCTCTTTGAGACTTTGGGTTCCTTCTTCCCAGGCAGCTCCCCGCATCTGAGGGTCCCAGAGGGGCTTTCCGCTGCACCTGCTGGAGTAGGCAGAGTCCTGAGAGTAGGGGGTGCTGCCCCGAGACGTGTAGGGGGTTCCTTGCGAGGACTGAGGGGTGAACTGGCCGAAGGAAGACGGGGTGTCCTGTCGGCTGCTGGAGAAGCTTGTGTCCTGGGAGCAGGGGGTGCCATTGCCGGGAGTGCCCACCACAGCCGAGCCCGCCGGGAAGGCAGCTGTGTCGGACGAGGAGCGGCGGCGGGAGTCAGTCTGGGGGGACAGAGTGTGGCAGGGAGAAACGAGAAGAGATCAAGCACCATTTGACAACATGACCTTCACCAAACCAGGAACCCCAACCCCCTACTTTGGAAAGCAGTGAGGCGTCCTTTCTTTGGCTCTTCTAATACTTTAACAGTGAAGTCCAGAACTGCCCAAAGCCTGCCCCTGGCGTCTAAGTACCAAGCCCGTAGGGCGAGGGCGTCACCAACTATAAGCTTCTCACCGTCTCCGTGGCTGCACCAGAGCCTTGGAACTTCTCACTCAGGGCCTTGCCCCCAGTGGGCACTGTCTGAGGGGTGTAGGAGCCGTTGACTATCAGTTCATAGTATTTCATTCGTTGTTGACCTGGATGGAAGAGAATGGGAACCGACAAAGTCAGATGGAGGAAACAACTCCTTTCAGATTTTGTATTCCCACTTTTTTCTCAGGCCTCAATTTGCTAAGATTTCCTGGAGTCTAGGGCCTTTAAGTTCTGCTACCTAGTCTCTACTTGGTAGCTACTACAAACAACGTATCAAGTAACCCTTAATAGTTTACAAAAATACTTCTAACTTCTGCTACTATGTTCGACAATCACCAGCAGAGAAAAGCATCCATAACTCTGTTGTATAAGCTTAAAGGAAACTGACCTGCACAGAATGGTGAAACCTGAATTCAAACCCAGTCATCTCAAGCTGGACCCCACCATCCTCTTCGTCCTATTAACTACCGCAGTACGATGGCAGCCTGAAGGTTAAACTCAGCCCACCGTTGTGATTTATTTGCCCTACACAATCACTTAAAGTATTGAGAAAGGTGAGGGAGAAACCCACTAGTTTGGGACTTCCCCAGTGGTCCAGTGGCTAAGACTATGCACTCCCAAGGCAGGACGCCTGGGTTTGATCCCTGGTCAGGGAATTAGATCCTACATGCTGCAGCAAAGAGTTTGTATGCCACAACTAAAGATCCTGCATGCTGCAACTAAGACCTGGGTACAGCCAAATAAATAAATATTTTAAACAAAAACAAAACCCACGAGATTTGACACAAAAAACTAGATTTGGGGCTTAAAAAAAATCTGCTAGTCTTCATCCCCATGTACAAATTGGCTAGTGTCAGCTAATAGCTAGCACCTTCAGATGCCACAGCTGCCACAGTCCCCACCCCTCCCTACCTCTACTTAGCACAGAAGTTCAGGCTGCTTCACTCACCTAAGCTGCTGCTGCTTAGTCCCTCGGTCGTGTCTGACTCTTTAGGACCCTATGGACTGTAGTCCACCAGACTCCTTTGCCCATGGAATTCCCCAGGCAGAATGCTGGAGTGGGTTGCCATTCCCTTCTCCAAGGGATCTTCCCAATCCAGGATCAAAACCGGATCTCCCACATTGCAAGCACATTCTTTACCATCTGAGCTACCAAGGAAGCCCATCACTCACCTATATATGCCCCTAATTCTCCATCTAAAATTTGAAAACCAGAAAAACTCAAAACCCAGTGTTTTTTAGAACTTGGTGCCCAAACCTGACCTGAGGCTATTTATCATCGTTTTTATTCATCCTACACAGTGTGACTCTTCAGACTGTTTCTCACAAAATACAGTCATACACTAAACCATAGCTGCCCCAACCCTGCCAGAGACAACACGCAAAGGCCCGTACCTATACCATAATCTCTCTATAAAATCCTGATATAAGAAACATGTGGCAAAAAAAATTAAAAAAAGAAACACGTGGCCCAAGAGTTTCAGAGGAGAAATCACAGACCTGACTACTTGCCAGGCCCCAAGAGGCATTTGTGCGTACAATCTCCGTCAGAGCCCAACCCTGGGCAGCAGGTGAGGGAGCCCTCACCTTTGATGTCGAGCTGGGCATGGATGATGTTGCCCATAACGGAGGTAAGGTGGAGGTTTTTGACTGTTTCCTTGGCTCCCCGAGTGCTGGTGAAGAGCACGCGGGCCAGGCCCAGGTGCTTGCGAGTACGGGGGTGGAGAAGAATCTCCACCTCTTCCACCTCACCATACTTTCGGCACATGTCCTTCAGGAAGGTCTCCCGCACGTTGTCATTCAGCCTTGCAAATGTCACCTCTTTCAGTGGGATCTGTCCGATATAGAACTCATCCAGCTGTGGAGGGGACAGGAGTTAAGTCTGGGGTCTCACTACTGATCACCACGCCTTGCCCCATTGGGAAACTTTAGTGAGATCCATGAGGCTAAGAGGGAGAGAATGGGGAAATCAAGAGGCAAGGGGATGGGGAAGGGGGTCCCAACAAAGGATACATCTGTCCTGACCCCTCTCTTCCCTGAATTCTCTGCACAGAATGATGGCAAGAACCAGAAAAAGAAATGTACAGAGTGAGAACTAAACATTCATAGAAGGAACCAGTTATATGGAAATAATTCACTAGGTCAGCTTTCACTAAGTGATTCCCAAGAACGGGCACTTGGAATACAAAGATGGAGAAAATAGAGTTTTATGCAGAAAAGTAGACAGGACAAACAGACACACGCAATCACAACATGACCCAACAAGTGTCAACAAAGGCGTAGGACAGGGTGTTTGGGAGCCCAGAGAATGAAACCTTTGCTCAGAGAGGAGGCAGGAAAAAATTCATAAAGGTGGTGTCATTCATACTGGATTTTTTGGATAATCAGGAATTCACCATAATGACAGGACCTGTAGAGCACATGACTATAAAATAACTTGGCATTGCCTAGAAACTCCAAAGCACACAGTATGAGAGAACACAAGTATGCACCATCGAGGCAAGAGATGAGGCTGGCCAGACTAGTAATCATACATGCCAATGCACAAAATATGAGGACTTGCCAACAAAAATAAAATAAGATGACAGTAAAACCAAAGAGACAGATGACAGCAATAAATGGAGAAGAGAACAGGCAGGGAAATCAGGGGAAATGAACATAGACTCTGTATTAAAGGAATGGGAACAGAAATAGAAAAATTAACGAAAAAAAAAAAAGAGATGTGTTTAGAAAAAGAGTCAGCACGACTTAGTGACAGATTAAGGACAGAAGAATCATAGGATGACACCCAGGTTTCTAGCTTGTGCAGCTGAGTACACGGTGTTGCCATTCAATAGCAAAAGGAAAATGGAAAGAAAAGCAGGACAAGTGGGTGAAGGTAATTATTTTACATCTCCTGAACTTGAAATTTCTGTGGGGCCTCCAGATGGAGCTGTCCCTCCACCAGGCAAATAAGTCTGGAGTTTCAAGAGATCTGGAAGTCATCAACACTTCAGTAATAGTCAAAGTTGTGGATGGGAAAGACATTGTCCAGGAAAAGTATACAAAGTGAAAAAAGAGGGATGTGGGAACCCCACAAGTGACTTATTAAAAAGGAAGAATAAAGAGTTAACAAAGGAGATTAAGAACCACCAGTTTTCTAGATCCAGTCCTCCAAAGCACATTGGAGGACTCATTTCTGATGAGTACCCTGCCTGGACAAGAGACATGGGAATCCTCTGAGGAAAAAAGACAGAGTAAGCGAGAGGAACAGAGGACTCCAGGGATGGAGTCCCTGGCGCTGTCACTCCCCTTAACTGAGAAATTGGGGTAACACACAGGATACTATTTTACTATGGACAGTCTAGAAGTACACAGTGATTGGTGTAGCAGCTGGACCTGTCTTCACCCTTCAAAAAGTTAACACCCTTTTTGAGACACCTAACCTATACCTTTCTAGAAAATAAACACACCTCCTGTCCACAACAACTCAGTCTCATAGCCTCAGAGATTATTAAATCTGTTATTAGAGTCTTTCACTAGGAAAACCCCCTTTCCCTATGCTACATTAAGACTAGACTACCAGGATGGATCCTCCACACCCTCCAAGGGCCACCACACCAGGAGACTAGCAGAAACGTACCTTAAACTTAGGGACTGGGAGGGAAAAGTCTCTGTTTTTGGACCTGACGTGGCAACGGGGGTCTTGGAGGTCCTCCACTGGTATATACTTTGAGTCCTAGGAAAATAATCAGGAACAGAGAGACAGCTCAAGGTGAAACCAAAGTGTTGATCTCTACAGCCCCTCTGGAGTCCCACGAGCAAAAGAGCTGGGTTCTGGTTGTCCACTTTAAAGAAGACAGGTTCTAGGTGATGAGCAGAGGTAACAGAGATCGGGTTTGAGTTCCCTAGATCTGGGGAAGGCCTGGGACACTCACGTTGACACTAAAGTGGATTCCATCGTATCTGTACACCTTTTGAGAAGGCCTGCGTAGGGCAGGGTCCAAGGCAGGATCCACGATGAGCTTGTAGTTCCGCCACTGGAAGCTCGGGGCCTTCTGCCCATCTCCCCCACCTTCCTGATCCATCTTTGCTCATTTACACTGCGAGGAAAGAGGGATAAGCAAAGGGGTCACGACTTAGGCCCAACTCCCTTGCTGCCCCTCACTGACTAGCCCCGACTCCAGGTAACTCTCATCACCTCAGTTTCCATACCTCACTCACCATGACTGGAGGCTCCCCCAGATTTTCTCACAAGTACCTTCTTTCACCATAACACCCCATCCTCTCTCCACCTCCCAACTCTCCCCTCTGGCCCCCAGGCCCATCTCGCGCCCCCTTACCTTCCCGCTCTCCCTAGCGCGCGCCCCACTTGGCCTACGCGCGGAACCTTTCGCTGTGGCAGGCCCCGCCCCCTCCCGCCTCCTCACCGGCCAGCGGCCCAGGCCAAGCCCGGCTCCCGCTCCCACACACCCGCTCCCGTCCCCGCGCCCCGATTCTCTCGTCAAGAAGTGGCACCTCTTCGGGGCGTTGGAAACACCGCGAGACCGAGACCGAGACCCGGCTTCGGCCCTGAATCCGGGCGGGGGGTGGGGGAAACGCGCGCCGCTGCCCTCTCCTCCCGCCCCGGCGCGTTCTGCCCCCCCCATCTCCGCGCACGCGCGGCGCGGCCCCACTCACCCGCTCGCGGCGAGCGGCTCCCCCTCCCCCCACCCCGCGCGGCACCTCAGCGGCGCGAGGCGGCGGCGGCGGCGGCGACAGCGCGAGACCCGGCCCCGCAGCGGTGGCGGCGGCGGCGCCCCCCCACCACCACCTCCCCGGCGCGCGCACCAAACACCACCGCCACCTGCGCGAGGCCCAGCGGGCACAGCTTCTACATTCGCACTTTCGCTACGGGCGACTCCGGGAGACCCACGGGGCCGAGGATAGCGGTTTCGCCTCGGCCGGCGGCCTATGAAGCTCAAGAGTTGCGGCCCAGTGAGCCTAGAGTTTGGCCGCATCCCCCGGAGAGTGGACTTCACCACGACTATCCAGCTGCTCTGGCCTGGGATCCTTGACGAATCGGCGGCGTTGAAAGCAGCGACTAATCCCAGAGGAAAAGGGGGCGGGGCGAAGGGGAGGAGGCCAGCCAGAGCTGGGGAGATTTGAGTGGCGCGTTGAACAGGCGCAGATTCGTCAGGCGGGCGGGGCGAATCGGTAGACAGGATGCGCGCTCCTTTGCTCCTCTTTCCTGCCCCTTCCTTAAGCGACCAAACGTCTGAAAGGCTGCAGATTCGCCACAAGTCCTGGCCTCAGCTGTTGCCTCCCTTCACCAGCCTTGGTGGAGTCAAGAAAATAATGCCTGGTTAGCCAAGCCCTGTTGGCAGAGTCAGCCACTTTTCCTGGATCTTTCTTACTATCACAATTCAGAGGACTGCTCAGTTCCGACCTGGGGGAAATGGTTACGGAGTCCGATGAGAATTTTCAGCCGAGTACGGAGGGGCCGGAGAAATTCGGAGGAGGAGCCGGCCTAGCGAATCTGCGAATTCTTTAGTGGGCGGGGCCAAGGCTCCGCGCACAGAGGGCGTGGTCAGCGTGCGGAGCCCGGCGTCGCCGGGGCGCTTCCTGTAGGACCCTCGGAAACCCGGGTGGGGTAGGAGGGGCGCCCAGGAGATGGAAAAATACCACCAATAATGGTGACTCAGGCCGTTTGGCGCCGCACGTATTGCAGGGAACGTTTTCCTCCCATTATCCTCTTTGGGCAGCTCATTAAGATGCCCATTTGACAGATGGGGGACACTGAGGCCGGCAGAGGGTGCCGCGCTTTGCCTGTACTGGCCCGCCATTAGTGATTAAATCTTAATCTGTGTCAAAGTTATGTGATAAAGGTGGGTCCTAAAGGATCTTGAACCCGTCCTGTAAAAAAACGGTAAATTCGGTCGTACTTGAACTAGTGTGGGCTGGTCGATTTCCCAGATTATCATGGTCCCAGTGCCCGCCGTTTTTAGTTGTGCAAACCTCTGCCCCGCCTCGCTTACGCAGTCCTGCCGCTCGAGGGCAGCACCAGCCCAGGCTTAAACCTGAGACTTGGGCTGAGGTCGCCCTGATGCTGGGCACCCACTTAGTCTTGGGACGCAGGTATCTTGGTCTCAGGGTAATGGCACTCCCAGGCACTGTCAGAGCTGAGGGGATGCCCTAAGTTCCAGACTTCTAGATGTATGACCTTGCGCAAGTCATTAACTTCATAAAGCTTCAGATTCTTCCTCTGAAAATAGATGTTAATTACTGTTATGCAGAACTATTGTAGGCATTAAAACAGTGCAGGAAAGGCCCCTGAGGCCTGGTTCATGTAAATTCACCATTTTAAGGAATAGGAAAAGCGATTTGTCCAAAATCTCAACACCAAAAGAATCCTTCTGGAAGAGGCTTAGGACCCTTTACAAATTTAAGGAAAATGAGGCTGAAGAAATAAATTTACAGTGGAAACAAGGGTGATGAAATCAGATTCTTTCTCTAGTCCTAGTTGAAAGATACTCCTTTTCTCAAGCGAAAGAGTCCCCTTGTGATAGTAAAGGTGGTCCAAGTTTTCCCTGACTGGCTGTGTGGCTTTTGGAAAGATCCTCAACCTTCTTAGGTTGAGGCTTCCGTATCTCTGAAATAGTACCCATAAAGACTTGTCTCTTGAGGTAATAAATCAGTTAAATAGGCTAAATAAGATGACCTATGAGAAGCCCCTAGTATGTAGTAGTTACTCAAGAAAGAAACTTAAACTAAAAGGAACTTATGTTGTTGTTCAGTTGCTAAGTTGTGTCCGACTCTTTGCAACCCCATGGACTCCAGCATGCCATGCTTCCCTGTCCTTCACGATCTCCCGGAGTTTGTTCAAATTCACATCCATTGAGTTGGTGATGCTCTCTAACCATCTCGTCCCTCTGCTGCCCCTTTTTCTGTTGTCTTCAATCTTTCCCAGCATCAGGGCCTTTTCCACTGCCTTTTCCTTCACGTCAGGTGGCCAAGAACTGAAGCTTCAGCTTCAGCATCAGTCCTTCCAATAAATATTCAGGGTTGATTTCCTTAGGGTTGATTGATTTGATCTACTTGCAGTCCAAGGGATTCTCAGGAATCTTCTTCAGCACCACAATTCGAAGGTGTCAATTCTTTAGCACTTAGCCTTCAACTCTTGCATCCACATGTGGCAACTGGAAAAACCATAGCTTTGACTATACGGACCTCTGTTGACAAAATGATGACTCTGCTTTTTAATATGCTGTCTAGGTTTGTCATAGCTTTCCTTCTAAGGAGCAAGTTTCTTTTAATTTCATGGCTGCAATCACTGTCTGCAGTGATTTTGGAGGCCAATGAAAGAAAATCTATCACTGTTTCCACTTTTCTTCTTTCTGTTTGCCAAGAAATGATGGGGCTGGATGCCATGGTCTTAGTTTTTTAAATGTTGAGTTTTAAAACAGCCTTTTCACTCCCATGTTCAATGGAAGAGATAGAGACCCTGGACTCAGTAGCAAGATTGCAAAACCCTTTAGCCTAACTCAGTCTCCACATTCAGAAGCTACTGGGCCCTGTCAGCACTAGAAGGGAGTCAAGCCTGGAACCTTCTCTCCTCCACCCCTACCCTGCCCCCAGGGACACTTGCCTCCACTTGGCTCATAAGAACAAGTCCCTGTTCCCGAGGAGGCCTCCTCTTCACTCCATTCACAGCCACAGCGACATGTGTAAAACACAATTTATTATACAAAACTAGGTGCATCAAAAATTCAGTGTCAGAATAGTTCTGTATTCTAAGGGCTATGGAATGGACCTTCTCCCTTATCACCCCAATCCTTGCTAGGGAGTCAGGCTGGTGCACGGCCCCCCAGCCCTGGACCAGGAGAGTAGGAATCAGTTATAGAAGCATGAGTGTGTGTCTGGGGCAGTGCGGCAGGCATTTGAACCTCCTCCAAATAGGGAGACTTGGAAAGGCTGTACCTGTGCCTGGGGGAGAAACACCTAAATCCCTCTCTACCCAAATGCCAAAGCGAGAGCGTAGAAATCAAAATCTGAGGATGGGGGAAAGCTTCAAAAAAAAAAAAAAAAAAGCCAACCATAAAACAGATTCTACAAAAGTAAAATAAGGATTGGCTGCCTTCTGGGGCAACTGGGTGGGCGTGCATCCTGACGTTCTCATTCTGTATGGGGGCAAGTGGCTAAGAGCACCGAAGGTCTGACCAGCGTCTCCCTGCCTCCCCTCTACCTACGCAGGAACTTGGACCGAGGACCTTCCGCTTAACTCTCATGCTCCTCCCAGCCCCCTGGGTGTAGAGTAGAGCTTCTAAAACCCATGGGACAGACTAGACAGGGACAATCCCTGGGAACGTGGGAGCTGCCCCAAGGTCCAGCCCGAAGGACCCTGAGGGCAGGAATCTGTTCTCTACCTGAAAGTGGCCACAGGAAGTGGCTGCAGGCAGGACCACAGAATGGGGTTGGTAGATCCAGGGCCTCTGACTGAGCTCCGGGGGAGGCAGTGCTCTCAGCCTTGGGCTAACACCAGCCTCACACAGCCTGAAGCTCCCCCTGCAGGCGACTCAGCTCTTCTAGCTCTTGCTTGTGGCGGTCGGTCTTGTGAGCCACCAAGGAGCGGTAGAAATGCAGGGCGAAGGCCACAAACACTAGTCCTACAGGTACCATGATTGCCGTGGAGGCCATGGCGGCTTGCCAGCCTGGTCCATGGGCCGCACCACCATCACACGCTTGCCGTGGGGGGCAGGCCTCAGGGGGCTCGGCCTGTGACGGGGCTACAGAAGTGGAGGATGGCTTGGAAGCTGGACTAAGGGAGGTGGCCACTGGTGGCAGAGTCTCAGGCAGCTGGGAGGCAGGTCCCATTGAGCCTGATGTGCCCAAGGGGGCCCCGATGGGCACAAACTTGACCCAGCCAACTAGGACAACTTCAGCCAGAAAAAGGAAGGTGCCCAAGGCAGTGGAGAAGCCCCAGGCCAGCTCCACGTAGCGGTGGAGTCGCTGGTGTGGAGACTGGTGGACCGAGTTGAGGTTGTGGATGTTGCTAACAGCTTCAATGTGAGGCAGCAGACAGGTGGAGACCATGAGTGCAAAGAGGTGCACAGCCACCAGCACGGTGGTGCAGGCACTGAAGGCCACCAGGAGGCCCGGCGGGTATTCGTGGTTTCTCTCCAGCTGTACCTCAACCATGGCCACCTGTGGGGACAAGAGGGGACGGGTTGAGTGGCCGTAACCTCAACAGTAAAAGGTTTTTTGGCCTATACATCACTGATGTATCCCTAAGACCCACAACAGTGCTTGGTTCAAAGAAGGCCCCCATGTTTTAAGTGAATAGATGGACAACCTTGGCAAGGCTCTGTCCTGTTCCAGACCTTGATTTCCCCGCCTGGGGGGAAACTAGAGGGTTGGATGGCATGTTTCTGACCATCTTATCTTTTATAACATAGGGACCCGGGACTTCCCTGATGGTCCAGTGGTTAAGAATCTGCTTTGCAAGGCAGGGTACATGGGCTCAATCCCTGGAGGGAGAACTAAGATCCCTCATGCCTTGGAACAACTAAGCCCACGAATTGCAAATGGAGAGTCTGTGGGCAGCAATATGTCCAGTGTGCTGTAACTAAGACCCAATGCAGTGAAATAGGTTTAAGATAATTTTTTTAAAGATGCACATCATTTTCACTTTTAAAAAAATAGGGGTTAAAGAAAGCACAGATTCTAGAGTGGGGGTGCATGGGCTCATTTTCAGTTGTACAAACTGTGTAATCTTGAGCAAGTGGTTTAGTTCTCTCTGTGCCTCCCTTTCCTCATCTGGAAAATAGGGATTGATAACAGCACCTACCTGCCTTATAGGGTTATTGTGAAAATTTAATGATACATCTAGAGATACATCAAGTGATAAGAATAGTGTGAGGTACATAGTATGCTCAAGTAAATGTTTGCTGTTATTATTAGAGTTAACACTGAAGTCCAAGGCCAGAGTTTGCAAACTGGCACACCACAACCCAAGCCAGCTTGCAAACATGTTTTGCTTGGCTCAGACGGTGCATTTTTTTTTTTTTTAAAGAATTGTTGCCAACTTCTAAAACTCAAGAGATTTCATGTAAATATCCCTATTTCCAGATCCTCCTGGAAATTTGGAGGATCTGATTACACCAGGCCCATATTCCTGCATGGCAACTATCAGTCAGAGTTGAGTCATGGCTGCTCCCTTGGCACAGGTAATGAGGGTCTCTTGAAAGCCACAGTCCCCACCCAACCAACTTGACTTCCATTACCACCTGTGTGGTCTTTGCACATATTTGAGTTGATGATCTTGTTCTAGGATTGTATAAATTTGGATTCTAGAGCTAAACTGACTAAATTCAAATCCTGCCACTTACTTGCTGTGGAACCATAGGCAGGTCTTAATATTTCTGATCCTCAGTTTTCTCATTTATAAAATAGTCTTAGTAGTAGTACCTAATTTGTAGGGTGATAGGAAGATGATACACATTAAAGCCTTAAGCATGGTGCCTGGTAGTGACGGTTCAATACAACTTATATAATGTTATTCTAACCCAGGTCACCTGAAGTCCAGGATCAGGTTCTTTCCCCAGGCCTGGTTCTTGCAGGATCCATTAGATGGCTCTGGGCTGGGGCAAGGAGGAAACTGCAGGGCCAGGAGGGTGGCAGTAGGAAGGCAAGGCTGAGTATTTTGGGAAATTGGGCCACAGCGGATGTTAGCAGGAGTTTTCCACAGACAGCAATCTGGGCCAGGCCCAGTCTTGGTCTCTTCCGGAGCCTGATTCAACCTTGCTCACCGACAGGACTGGGGGCAGTCTAGCCCCCAGAACCTACTCATCTGGTCTCTTGATCCTGCAGAGAAGGTCTTGTCCCTTAAGCTGTCACCTCAGCAACCTGCAAGTTCAGCAGCAGGTGGGATTGTCTCCTTGGGAACACGCTGGACCATGGGGGGATGGGGGTGGGGCAACTCCCTCAGCTGGGTCCCCAGGGCTGCTCCCCTTTCTCTGCAGTCTGTACAGGTGAAGGGGAGCATTCCCTGTCCTGAGAAGACCCCACATCGGGCAGGGTGAGCTGGCCTGTGGATCCAGGACCCTCACATAGAAAACCATAGACCTAAGGATGACCCTTAGGGATAGAAATATTCCCACCAGTCATCCAAATACAGAGGCTGTGACACAGAGAGGGGCAGGGACTAACTCAAATCACCCAGGGCTATGGCCCCTTCTATCCCCATCTTGATATCCCCCTCATGTTTCCATGGGGACCCCTCTCCAGCCCATTTTCTCCTTTTTCCTGTCATGATGATAGGACATCCTGGATGAACAGTCCGGTGACCCTGGGTCTCAGTTCCTCCTGTACCCTTCAGCTGGTGAGAGCTCTGGCAGGGCCACCGCCCCCCTCTGGGCCTCAGTTTCCATCAACAGGGAGTCTCAGCCATTCTGATGGGAGTCTTGCTCTGACGTGCCTGGATCCAGGATCTGATGACAAGAATCAGCTCATCTTGGGGTGGCTCCCTGGCAAGCTACAGAGGGCGCGCCCTTCCATGATCTCACAATTTCCCACTGGCCGGCGATGGTGGTCGGGGGCAGTGCGGAGGCCTGTCCAGGGCTGGCCACAGGCAGGAAGGAGCTAGGACCTGTGTCTGCTGACGTCTCCTCACCCTGGGACCTCCCTCAGCCTGCTTCCTGTGAGGCCTCTGCTGGACCGTTAGCTGATTAGCATCTGCCCACACTTGGGAGTTTATCATCTCCAGAATCGTGCATCAGGCTTCCTAGACAGCTTTCTCCTGAGACTCCCTCACAGGTATCTTCTCTTCTCAGAGCTTTCCCAGGCCACCAGTAAGCACCCTCCATGTCTGCTAGGGCCTGGCCACCCTCTTTTCTGTTGGGTGACCGCTCCATCCAGTTTATTCTCACCCCCTGCCTCCTTGAGGTCATCCTTCAGCCCCTCAACTAGCTCGGATTTGCTGTTGAGCCTGTGGTGGGAACCCAGAAACCACTTCTGCCGGATTCTGTCCCTTCGGGGAGCTCTGCACTCTGTCCTTGCGTGTGTATCCCCCGTGATGTGTGTCCCCAGTGACATGTTTAGAATTTGCTCATCCTCCCCGGGCCCAGCTTATGCTAGGAGCCACCCCCACACCCATTAAAAGACTTTGTGTAGTCACTTGGGACCTTGTTTGCGCCCCCCCCACTTCTCCCTTTGAAAGACCGGTCTTTCCCACTCCTCGGCCCTGTCTCCCTTAAGTACCTGTTCACCTTGCCTCCGACCCCCGTTCCCCGCCATGGGCTTCACCCCCACCCTGCGCGCCCCTTCCCTCCCCTCACCATGGCGAAGCCCGAGAGCAGGGCAGACGTGCGGCTGGAGGCTTTGAGCTTGGCCCGGCTGAGGTAGAGGCGGCGCCAGCTGAGCGCCCGCAGCGAATGCTGACTGGCCCCCATGAGGTCCAGGTAGCCGCGATGCACGAACTCTCGGTACGTGGCCGAGCCCGCGGGGCTCTCGGCCTCCGGGTTCAGCGGGGCCTGTTCGCCCGGGTCCCCCTCGCCGCCCTTCATCCTGGGGCTGCGGCACCAAGCGGGCTAGTCCGTCAAGGCGGGGCCGAGTCGCCTCTGGAGCCCCAGCAGGGCGGGCCCAGGCCTGGGGAAGGCCCCATGCCCCGGCGGGACGAGCGGGGATGCGGGCGGCGAGCTCCCAGGAAGACGTGGCCCGGGCGGAGCAGGAAGAGCAGGCGACTGCGGGGAGCCCTAGGGGCTGAAGCCGAGGCCGAAACAGGAACTGGGGCGGAGGCGGAGCTGAGGCGGCCACATGATGGGGTGGAGCCGGGGGACCGTGGACAGAGATCCCAAGGGACCCCGAGACCCCAGTCCACCTAGGATGTCCTCTGGGTGCCTCAACCCGCTGTTATGAACGCCGAGCCCCAGTGACTGGGAGTTCCGGATCCTGGACCACTCCAGGTACACCGGCACACCTCGAACGTCCAGACTCCTAACCCTCACCTGAACAGTGAACTCAGGGGAAGTGACACCCCCATCTCACCCTGAAGACTGCAGGAGGCCCTGCAGCCTCAATTTCTGGAGGTCCACTCAGACCTTAGGTCCCCTAGACCCATCCAAAGAGCCCCGTTCTCCCAGACCCTCAAAGAATACGCGGGTCATCCCCAACCCCCCCCCCCCCCCCCCCGGCACCCCCAACGCAGCAGACAACCACACGCGAACTCGGCGGCCCCGGCTGGAAGATTTTGAGTTTTATAGCAAACCATATAGTACAGACCCGGGGCCCAGGGGCCCAGCCCGGCTGGGTCCCCCACTTATCCCTCGCTGGGCTGCCTCCTCCCCCTCCCCCAAGCGGCCCCATCCTCAAGCCTTCTGCGAATCCCCAGGACCCCCTCCCCTCCGGCCTTTGGTCCACCCAGTCCCTCCCCCCCACCCGCGCACCTCCCTGTTACCTGAGGTATGTGGATATTCCCCCCTCCCCAACAAGGTCCAGTCTGGCTCCCCAGGGAGACCCGGGCTGAGGGGCGGGAGCTGGCCCCTGCCCCTACCCCTGGCTCCCAAAGCCCCGCCCCCGCAGAGGAAGGGGCAGGAGAAGGCCAAGAGTCGTTACTAAGTTCCCATGGCAACTAAGAGGGGCCATTTCCAGCCTTAGCACTGGCTTTGGGAGGTGTCCATTGGCTGCTAATTCCATGGCAACCAGGAGTGGCAGTTCCCTGGGCAAATGGGATACAAGGTTCCATGACGATGAAAGAGTGGGAAGAGCCAAGCTGGAGGAGTCCCATCTTCCCCATCACTGGGCTGGCCCACCACCCCCTACCCTCACCTCAGGGTCAGGAGGGGTGGAGCTGCTCAATACAGTAAAGCAAGAGAGCCTGGGGTGGTCCAGTCCGAACTCGGTGGTCCACCAGTCCAGTCTCAGTCCAAGCTGGTCCCGTCCCCTTAAGCTCTGGCTCCCCCAGGTCCGAGGTTCCCCCGGTTCAAGTAACACTTCAGTACAGATGAATGTTCAAGTATAGTGCGGGGAGGCAGGTAGGGGGCTGGGGTACCCCTCACCACTCCCCAGGGCGCGCTGAACAGCGGGCAGGCCCGCGGGCCCCACTCCTCAAGATAGCTGCCATTGTCAGTGACTTTCAAGGAGTCAGGGTTGGGGAGAAGGAACTGAAATCCAGGGAGGGAGGAAGGAGAGGGGTGACCCCGAGGGGCTACTACCACCCTCCCTGCACCTGCTCTTGCCCCCCACCCCTCACTCAGCCCTGTTGCTTTCCCCTGGTTCCCCGAGTCCCCTCATCTCTGACACCTGGATCCCCAATTGCTCCTCTGGTTTCCCTTTTTGGCCCCCCCACCCTACCCCCCCAACTCCAAGTATCTGGTCTTTGTTCCCTGAACCCCTGATGGTCTACCCTGCTCCCAACATCCTGTGTGCAGATACTCTCCCCATTCATCCCCCCCTCAAACTGCACCTCAACCCCCCTCCCACCAGCCCTTTGGCTCAGCGCCCCCCAGTACCTCTGACCCGCTTCCCCCAGGGGATGGTCGATGAAGCAGGTGGAAGGGGGAGGGGATGGGAAGAAGAGACCCCCAGAGATATCAGTGCAGGGGGTAAAGAGTGGGGGAGGCTGGCTCGAGTCCCTGGGCAGGAACCCCAAGTCGTAAAACTCAGGAATCCCAAGTCATGAGGTGGGTGACCTGGCCTCCTGGCAGGGGTGAAATGAAGGCCTGAGGTCCAGGCTCCTGATGAGTCCTGGGGGTGGGGGGGGGTGGGGGGGGCACCCAACTAGCTGTCCTTGAGAAGCAGCTTCTCTTCTGGGCAGCGGAAGGGGCCAGGGGGCCCGGCGGCTGCCAGCCGGGCACAAGCTTCCGGGGAGAGCTGGCGGCAGGAGCGCAGGTCGAGACGGCGGAGGCGCGGGCAGCGGCGGAACAGCGGGAGGCAGTGGTCCGTGAGGCGGTGACAACCTGGGGGTGGGGCGACGGCAGCTGAGACCAGAAGGTGAGCCGGGGGTCCACCCAGACCACAGGGCCCAGGAGGCTGGAAGGATGGAGAGATAAGGGACGGCGCTTACCGGCGAGATTGAGGTGTACCAGGGTCTCTCGGAGCGGGGAGGTGGGGGCCGTGAGGAGGTGGACACTGGGATCCCCAACGTGGGCGCAGTGGCTCAGGTCCAGGGCGCTCAGCTGGGGTGCGTGGCGCAGCAGGAGCCGCAAGGAGGCGTCCGTCAGCTCCAGGCCGGCCAGGCGCAGCTCAGCTACCCCCTGTAGCCGCCCTCGGCTCTCCGTTTGCCCTGCGGTAGGCAGAGAAGAGGTCACCACTGTGGGCCGCTCGCATCCCTGCACTGGCTATGTCTCCACCCTCCTCCCTCGCCACCCCCTGACCTGCTCCCACTCTAAGGGAACCTCAACTTGCATTTTCTGTGTGGCTCGTGGCTTGCTCTTCTCCCCCAAACCCACACAAGACAGATTTCATCTGTCTCTTCACACTGCCTCCTCAGGGAGGCCTTCCACGATTATGCCATTCGGAACCATAACATTCCACGTACTCCAACTCCTTCCCTGCACCTTCTCCTCTTTTTCTCACTGACATATTTTTTCTTCTCCCACTAGAACAGCAGTCCCCAACCTTTTTTGCACCAGGGACTGGTTTCATGGAAGACAATTTTTCCACGGACAGGGCTGGGGGAGGGGGGAGACGGTTCAGGTGGTAATGGGAGTGACCAGGAGCCATGGGGAGTGATACTGGGGGTTGGGGACGCTTGCACCAGAATGCCACTTCCAGGAAGGCAGGAGTTTTTGTCTGTCTTGTTCTTAATCTATGCACAGGACCTGGGACATAGATGCTTGTCAATATATAGTCACTCATCCAACAAATGACATCCCCAACAGGACGGCCTCCTGTTCCACTTCCTCACTTATCAAAAGACAGAGTCTCACAAGGGAGAAAGGGGGGTGGGGTGACAACTGGGAGAGGGGGCTTGACGCAGACAAACTACTGATACTGTGTATCAAACACATAAGCAATGGGAACCTACTGTACAGCTCATGGAACCTTTCCTCAGTACTCTCCTGCAGCCTAAATGGGAAGGAAATCCCCAAAAGAGGGGATGTATGTTTGTATACATATCGCTGACTCACTCTGTTGTGCAGCAGAAACTAACACAACATTGGAGAGCAACTATACTCCGATAAAAATTAATTTAAAAAAAGAGTAGTTCTCAAATATGTGAGACCACATCCCTCTTCTGCTGAAAACTCTCCAAGGGCACCTCAGAGAAGTCTAATCTACTTGGGAGAACATTCGCGTTCCTACAAGGTCTCACCCCTGTCTCAGCTCCAAATTCCTCTCCCTCCTTCAGAAACACTTGAGCCAAACTCCACAGGGGACCCTGCCCAAGGCCACCTGTGTTCAGTCCCCTGCCTGGCCAGGGTCCCTGGCTTTCCCATCTGAGCTCAGAGGCCTCCCCTTCCTCCATCTCTGGGATAGAAGAGCTCCTACCCTTCATCTCTGCCCCCAAAGCTTTCCTTTATATTGTATCTACCATGATCCCGCATTTCCATTTTTTTTATCTATGCTTGACCACACACTGTAGGCCAGGCAGCGGCTAAGTGGCAGCCTGCCCCAGCCCAGTGGCTCTCCAATTAGAGAGAGAGAGAGAGAGAAAGAAAAAACCAGAGGGAGACAGACAGACAGAGACTGACTTCTATATCTCCCTGGGCTGCTGGGTGAAACCAATTGCTGGCCCCACCCCCAGGCAGTCTAACAAGTTCCCCTGGGACTTCCCTGGAGGTCCAGGTTAAGACTCTGTGCTTCTACTGCATGGGGCATAGGTTCAATCTCTGGTTGGGAAACTAAGATCCTGCATGCCACATGGCATTGTAAAAAAAAAAAATCCAGACAAAGGAAAAACCAAGTTCTCCAGCAACGCTGAGCTGCTGGTCCCGAGACCACGCTTTAAGAACCACAGCCTCAGGAAGCAAGTTTTCTGATCATCATTCCTGTTTATAGATGAGAACACTCAGGCTTACATCCCCAAGCCAGCTACTCAAGATCACATGATTATGGATGAAAGAGCCAAGACACCAGGCCTTGTGACTCGGGAGTCCTAACTCTTAACCACAATGCTATCAGCTTTCCAGGCCCCAACCTCACCCTGAGATAAATAAACTAGATCATACAACACCAAGTCAGGGAACTAGCCTGCACGAGTGTTTTAGGGATCTGCAAAGTGTTCACATTTTTCTTAATGACTGATGCTACATAAGAGGTGTGTGTGAATCGCTCACTCCTGTCCAACCCCAGGGGTTGTAACCTACCAGGCTGCTCTGTCCATGGACTTCTCCAGGCAAGAATACTGGAGTGGGTAGCCATTCCCTTCTCCAGGGGATCCTCCTGACTGAGGGATCAAACTCGGGTCTCCCACATTGCGGGAAGATTCTTTACCATCTGAGCCACCAGGAATGCTACATAGAAGGCCATTTTTATAAAGAAACTTTGATATGGAGCTTTTCCCTGAAAAATTGTAAGATCGAGCATCACTGGGCTACCCCATTCATCCCACAACGATACTGAAGCTGGGTGACAAGGTGTACTCCCTAACATCCTGCACCAAGCTCATCACTTCTGTAACCTGCCAGGCCACCTCTGGGCACCTACTTGGCAAGCTCTGAATTCTCTCCTTTTCACTTTGAGGAGCTGAGAGCCTGGAGCGGAGATATACCTGCTGATGCCCTCAACCTCAGGCCACAGCTAAAGGCCAACAGAGGGAAGCGGATGAAAAAGAGGTCTCGGGTGGCTGGGGCAAGGCAAGTGGGCTCAAGGAGGATTTCACTGAGATGGGCCTTCAGGGATTTATTTGAACAAGAAGGAATGGGGGAGGGAAGCGCAGCCAGGCAGAGAACAGCAGGGGCAAAAGCAAGAAGGTAGGAAAACTTGCAGTGTTGACCCAGGGATGCCACACGAGGACAGGAAGCCAAGGGGATAGAGGTGGGTGTAGAGGGCTTCCATGGTGCTCCAGCAGTTAAGAATCCGCCTGCCGATACAGGGGACATGGATTCGATCCCTGGTGCAGAAAGATCCCACATGCCAAGGAGCAACTGAGCCTGTGAGCCACTACTGAGCCCAAGCACCAAAACTACTGAAGCCCGTGTGCCCTAAAGCCCCTGCTCTACAACAAGATAAGCCACTGCAATGAGAAGCCTGTGCATTGCAACAAAGTGTAGCTCCTGCTTGCTGCAACTAGAGAAAGCCCCAGTGAAGCAACAAAGACCTAGTGTAGCCAAGGGGAGGGGGGAATGTGGGGAGAGTCTCAAGGAGCATATTAGGCTTGGGGGGCCTGGACGGCTCACCTTTGTGAGCTCCTGATAAAGGGGCTTAGACTGAAGTCAATTTAAGCAGGAGGAGATGGAGTTGGTCTGCCAGGCAAACGGCACGTTCTCACCTCACGGAAAGCACTGTTCTCAACGCTCAGTCCAGCTCCAGGAAGAGAGGGCCACGGGTGGGTGCTCAGATTTGGCCTGGCCTGTGTGACTTGCAGCTGTCACTCAAGCCCTCTGGGGCCTCACCCAGAAATCCTAGTTCCTTCTCTACTCCCCTTCCAAGATTGCTGTGAGGGGGATGGGGTGGCAAGAAGGGAGCCATGAAAGAGAGCTGCCAAAGCAAGGTGCTGGGGTGAGCTGAGAGTCCTTGACCTCATGGAGCTTAAGAGCCTTGTAGGAGGAGACAGATTTTAACCAAATCACTTCACCACTGTACAGTGATATGTTAGGAGGGGACTGCTCTCTGGAAGAAGGACTCTCATCTCAATGGAGGAGGAGATCTTGGAGGGCTTCTAGGAGGAAGTGACATTGATGCTGAGGCCTAAAAAGCAGTTGGGTATCAGGTGAAGGAGGATAGAGCATTCTAGGCAAAGAGGAGTAGGCAAAGGCCCTGGGGCTGGAGGAAACTTGGCAAGGAGGCTAAGGTGGCTGAAATGTGAGGATAGCATAGGTCAGTGGGAGCCAGACCAGTGGCCTTATCAACCATGGTAAAATACTGATCTGCATCCAAAGAGCACCAGGGAACAACAAGAAACGAGTGGAGAGAAAAAAAAAAAAGAACGAGTGGAGAGCATGGGGTGACGTGGACAGACCTGATCTTCTGGGTGGTTCCCCGGCTTCATTATGGAGAACAGACTGGTGGGGACCAGAGAAAATGCTGAGTATCCCAGCTCCTGGCTAGAACTAGACAAAGAGCCCCAGGCCTCAGCACTCCTACCTCACACCTCAATAGGACCCCCAAAGTGACCAGGTTGGTGCTTACCAGACCAGCCCCAGTTCCCAGCATCCCCTCTTTGCCAATATGGTTCCCAGGCCTCACAAAACTGCTTATTCCTTCACACTCCCTGGGAAAAATCCTGTCTCTTTCAGGACTCAATTCAAATAGCACCTCCTTAAGGAGGGCTTTTCTCATTGCCCTGCTTCCTGACCCCCGCCACCCTCTCACCGACCACAGCCATTACCACGTCATGCCCTTCTATTTCTGCATGACTGGGGTTCTACCAGTGTGGGGAATGGGGCTCACTCAGTTTGAGGTCTCCAGGGCTCTATCCAGGGCCAGGCCCAGAGGCTATGTGCCGTGAAGCTGACTTTACCTGGTGGCAGAGGCCAGGGCCAGAGCAGGGTGAAGAGGTGGCTGTGGTCTGACTCAGGAAATGAAACCACCACCTCCACACAACCGTGCAAATCAGCTGGCTCCCTCGTTTCTGCTCTGCTCCTTCAGAAAAGTCCTCATTGTTTCACTTCAGGGCAAGAAGATCTACGGGCCAATTCTACTGCTCAATCATATCTTTGCTGGGCCAACACATGAATTTTAAAAAGAATCTGAATTACGCGCCATCATTTAAAAACCAGGATATTTCACAGAAGATCCTTTGTCTGACTCCTCTTGACAAATGGAACTGACTAGCCACCCCAGGCCTGCGTTCTTCCACAGCAGTCCCACTGCTCCCCTGGGAGAAGTCTCCCCTAACAGTGCCCACTACACCCAGAGATTTTGCTCACAATCCCCTGGCTTCTCCTAGAATTCTGTGTCATCCTCCTGTCCCACACTACATTTCATCCCCTAATTATCTTCCCCTCTGGAAGTCAGGGGCTACATCTTCCTCATCCCATCCCCTCAGCTCTGATCACAGGGCCCAGCACACAGCAGGAAAGTGAATGAACGAACATGGGCCAAGCAGGGTCTGTCTCCTCAACCTCACAAGCTCTATCCGTTCTCCAAATCATTTTAACACCCAGCAGGAATCGGAAGAGACCATGGAGGCCTCATCCCCCAGCCTGTCCAAACCCTCCTACAAAGGAGCCAAGAGAGGCCACACCTGGCTTGGTGTCTGGCGGAGGCAGCAGCAGCTCGCGGAGCTGGGAGTCTTTAACATCCTCAATCCAGCGGAGGTCCAGGAGCCGCAGGGCTGGCAGTGGGGCTGAGCCCAGGGCAGAGACAGAGAGCCAGGAGCAGCCAGACAGCACCAGCTCCTGCAGGCCTGGGGGAGTGGGGAGGTCCCCGGAAACAGGTGCTAGGAGGGGTCCGTCCCAGGTCTGTTCCCTTCCCTCACCACCCCCCCACCTCACCACCCGGCACTACCTTGCAGTCGGTTCAGAAGCCACATGAGCTGCTTCTTGGAGACACCTGTCCAGCTGAGGTCCAGGGCTCGAGGCTGGCGGCGAACCACACCACTAAGCATGGGCGGGGTCAGTGACTTCCTCCGGCTCAGGTCCATCCGAGGCCACAGACGCTTGTCGTAGCACCTGTTGGCCACAAGGGGGAGACAGAGACCTCAGTCCTCAGCTCAGTCTCAGGGAACCTACAATCCCCACCCTGGTTCACCCCAGCTCTCTCCTGGTCCATATCAGACAGCAACGATGGGCAGGAAGCCCCAGGTCCCAGGCCAAGAACACGGCGTTTGGGGCTCAACTCCATCACTAATTGGATGTGAGATCTTAGGCAAGCCCATTCCTCTCCCTGGGCCTCAGGCCTTGTTTATAACACAAAAGATGATAGTCAACAGGTGGGCCTTGCCCACGAGGTGGTTTTAAGATCAAATGGGGTTATTACAGTTAGTGGACCTTACAGGGACTTTCCTGGTGGTTCAGTGGTTAAGAGTCTGCCTTCCAATGCAGAGGACATGGGTTTGATCCTTGGTTGGGGCACTAAGATCCCACATGATGCCGTGGGACACCTAAGCCCATGTACTGCCACTAGAGAGCCAGCACGGGGCACCTGGATAAGCTGTGTGCTGCAGCTACTGCGGCTGCATGCTCTAGAGCCCGAGCATCACAACTAAAGAAGGCCTCGTCCTGCAGTGAAGATCTAGCCCAACCAAAAAAAAAAATCTATAGTGAGTGGGCCTAAAGCTTCCAAAGCATTGTGCCAAAGACACACGCACTCTACACACTGTATTTGATGGAGACCCAAAGAGATCCAGCAGCAGCCCCCATCCTTTGCCTTGGGCTTCTCACCAGTTATGGTGGCTGTGGGTACTTTTCAACCTCTACTAATTCCTGCCCGTGATCCGCGTCTGCTCATCCTGAGGACCAGCTGCCCAGGGCTTGACTTACTAGTCTGTGATTACTGTGAGCCTCCAGCCAGAATGGAGACTTCACCAGGGCAGCCCTGGCTTCTTCCTCTCAGCACCCTAGTGCCCAGCACCGGGCCAGGTGTAGGTTACCTGCTGTACATCTGTTGCATGAATGGATGGTCCCAAGCCGAGTGTGAACCACCCAAAGCTCCCACGGAGCACCCCTACCACACACTTCATTTATGGCTTCCCAGTGATTCGGTCAGGCAGTGTTTATGGACGGCCCAGTAGGTCCCAGTTGTTGAAACTACAAAGATGAATGAGGCCTGCATAAGGTGAAACGGGTTGGTCCCCAGCAACTCTGACAGCCTTGATGAGACCCACATGCAGGGAACTGGAGAAGGGCTTCCCAAACTGATGTTACCAGGGAACCCTTCCCCATCTCTGCCAAAGTCATCTACTAATACACTGTAGTATTGGGTTGGCCAAAAAGTTCATTCAGGTTTCCCTCCACGTAAGCTGTTATGGAAAATCGAACAAATTTTTTTTTGGCCAACCCAATACAGTAAAGTTCCTTGAGATATGGTTTGAAAAGTTTCCTTCAGTACAGTAGTTCAAAGCCATGTCAAAAAAGTTCCCACTGGGTAAGATGAACTGTATCAGAAGCAGCAGGGGTGGGGAGGGGAACCAGCAAGCTGTCTCTTATCTCTCTCCCAGCCCCACTTCTGGAGGCTTTCCTTTCAGGAAGCCCTGGGCTGGGGCAGAGATGCCCAAACTCCCGTCATTCAGTATCCACTTATCTGCAGAACGTAAATTTATCTTTAAATCAATTCTTAAAACCAGCATTTGCACTGAAAACCAGTATAGTTTCACATACATATGTTACACTTAGACATAAACACCACAAGAACAGACCAGGATTATTAAATTCTAGCTAGGTGTTGCTATGGCTTTTGGCTGCCATCTAAAGACTATTTTTGTTAAACAGGGAGATAAGTATTAGAAAAGTTGTCAGGTGTTTAAGAATCCGCTGGCCAATGCAGGAGATGTATGAGACACAGGTTCGATCCCTGGGTCAGGAAGATGCCCTGGAGGAGGAAATGGTAACCCACTCCAGGATTCTTGCCAGGAAAATTCCATGAACAGTGGAGTCTGGTGGACTACAGTCCATAGGGTTCCAAAGAGTTGGATACAACTGAGCATGCACGTATCCGAAAGATATAATAATAGCACCCAATGGAGGAACTTTCTTTTCAAAACTATTAATAATAGAAAGATCAAGCCAAATTTTTGTGCCACTTGCAACTCTCAGGCAAACTCAGGAACCCTTGGGTGACATTTTAGGGGAAGCTGGAAACACATACACCAAGGCTTTGATCCAAAAAACTCCACCCTCTGTCCCACCTGCCACCTCCTACCATTTCCCTTCCTCTTCTAGCATTCTAGCCTCTCCCTCTCCTGGTTCCACCCACTCAAACAATAAACACTTGCAAATCTCTCCGATTCTAAACAGGAAAAGAAAAGAAAAAAAAAAAAACTACCCACCTTCAATCCAGCTTCTGCCCCTAGGTTCTGTCCCTTATCTCCTTCCACTCCGTGAAATCCTATTTCATCCAAAATTTCTCTCTGCTCACTCTGACCCAGTCTTGAGTTCCAACTCAACTGTCACCACCAACTTGAAGCCCTCCTGGATCTTACGTGGCTAGTAGGGAACCCTTCCCCGCCAAGGGCACACACAGGCCACCAGCTGTATCTGTAAACTGCACTCCACAAGGGCCAGGCCAAACCACCTGCTTACCAACAGACACCTGCTATCTGGTGCCAACCCATTTTGGCACATGTTTGTCTTTGATGGAACTGCCAACCAACCCGGATCCCTCAGGGCTCAGCTCCACTGCTTCCTCTTCCAGGAAGTCTCTCCTGATTTTTCTTGGCTGCAGCTAATTTGTCCCTTTGCCCTTGGATGACCAGAACACTGGGTTTAAAATCTCAGAGTGGCAGCCAATAGTCACTGAGGGCCCCCTACTGATACTAAGTGTCAAGACACTGAACAGTAAGGAAACGGGGGAGGCAGCCGAGTCTTACAGTAACTGGGGCAACAAGGGACATGATAAGAGCCGGTGAGAAACTGGGACGGGGAGGTTCCCAGGGAGGCAATGCCAGATCTGAGACTTGAAGGCAGGCAACAATTGGGGCTTCCCTAGAGGTCCACTGGTTAGGACTCTGCGCTTCCACTGCAGGGGGCACAGGTTTGATACGTGCTCAGGGAACTAAGATCCTGCATACTGCACAGCAGTAGTTAATTCTAGCGAGGGGAGGAGGAAAAGATTTGAGTTCAGATAAGGAAGAACCAGTGTCCTGGCCAAGTACACAGGGAAAACAAAAAACAAAAAAACGGGAGAGCTCTGAGGACCTTAGGCAGTAGGAACAAAAGGCGATTCATCATCTCACCTTAACAATGAGTATGACGAAGACGATGACTCCAGCACGAATACCTCATGTTCACCCATGAAAACCCATGTTCACCAAGGGTTTACTGTGTTCTACGCCTTAGACATTTAACCTCACAACAGCCCTAGGAGGTGAATACTATAATCACCATGTCCTTTTTAGAGGTCAGGAAAATGAGGTCCAGGGAGGTTAGGAGACTGATTTCAAGGTCCCATTTTGATTACATGGTAGCAAAGCCAGGTGGAAGAGCAAGCTGGTCTGGATCGAGAGCTCCAACATGGAGAAGAGGCAGGGGCGAGGCTATGGAGGACGGCCAGCCCAGGGTAGGGGTGTCTTGGCCAGGAAGGCTGGAATGCCAGGCTGGATGAACATGGGCACAGAGCTCTGAGGTGCAGAGTGTGAGCAGGGGGACTGAAGCCCCAGCTCTGCCGCCTCTGTGCTCGGAGTGACCTTAGGCAAGTCACTTGCTCTCTCTGGGCCTCCATTTTCCAAACCATAAAATGGCGTAAAAGCAGTACTGATTTCATAGGTTTGCTGCAAAAACGAAGGGAGAGTAAATTAACTCTAGTCTCATTTTTTTTTAAACAGTGATTTAAAATAATTAAATGAAAAATGTTTAAAGGGGTGGGGGGGCAGACGATGCAGAGGAAGTGTTTAGTGCAGTCACTGTTCTTGTCCAAATGTCCAACAGGACCATGGAAGCTTGTTGCGAGGGTGACAGGGGGCCATAGACAGGTTCTTCCTAGACTAGGGTATGCACGCTCAGTCACTAAGTCATGTCTGACTCTTTGTGACCCTATGAACCAGGTTCTTCTGTCCATGGAATTTTCCAAGGAAGAATACTGGAGCAGGCTGCCATTTCCTTCTCCTGGGGATCTTCCTGATCTAGGGAATCGAACCCACATCTCCTGCACTGGTAGGCACATTCTTTACCACTGAGTCACCTGGGAAGCCCTCTTTCTAGACTAGAGAATGACACTTAGGTAATAGGTTGGAAGAAGTCCAAGGCCAAGGCATCCATCACCCAGGGGAGGCCAAGCCTGATGGCCAAATGCCCTACCCCACTGCCTTTCCCCTTGATTCCAGATACCCCTGACCAACTCAGCCCACCTCCAAAGTTGAGTCCAAAACCTCCCTCTTGCAGAGGCCCTCTGGAGCCACAGAGCTAGACCAGCCCAAACTGCTACCCGTAAGGACTTCCCAGCTTCCCAGGCTCCAACCCAAGCCACTTCTTCGTTATCAGCTCTCTGGGCTCCTTGCTGGCATTGAGGTCCTTCAACCATCCATCAGTGTTTAGTCCCAAATCCAGCTGCCTTGACCAGACAGTGTAGTCCCTTCCTTGCTCATTTCCAGTGAAGTCTCCACCCTCTTCCCTGGGACTCTGCAACTCCCCCAGGCCTCGCCTCCCCCCACCACCCCACCTCCCTCCCCTGACCTGGGCAGACCACTGTGCCTCCCATTTTCAAGAGAAGATGGAAGCCATCCGATGGGAAAGCCTGCAACTTCCTGCTCTCCCACCTACAAATTGATATCTATCCAGCTCCATCTTCGCTGCCTCTTTTTCACACTCCATCCTGATTTCCTCACTTTCATTCATTCGACAAGTGTTTTTTCATTACCTCCTGTAAGCCGGGTATCTTAGAAACTAGGGACATGGCAGAGAACAAACAGATCAAGTCCAACCTCAATTCTAGGCGACCTGGTTCCAGTGCCCTCACCCCCACACAGCACAGCAGAAGACAGCCAGGCCTACTTGGAGCAAAATCCAACTGACACTCTGGTCCTTGATCTCCCACAACCTCTCGCCAACACCCAACCGTGTTCTCTCCTCAATCTCTCCTTCTGGATACACTCTGCTTGCAATCCCTCCAAGTCTCTTGCTGTCCTTTCTCTAACTCACAAGTGCTGACATTCTGATTTCTGTCCTCTTCCTTGAAGTTGCTATCTATAGGTTAAAAACTCCTGAACTTGGGTCTTTCTTTTTAGCAACAGACCTGTACCTCCAGGCGCTCTCCTGTTAGTTCCTGATGGGCCCAAAGGCTTTTCAGACCAAACCTGGCGAATGTGAGCACTTGGCTTGACCCGGGAACCTGCCCCTGCTAAGTATTCCCAAGCTTGGGCCATCATCTTGCTGCCCATCCAGGCTCATGGACCAGAAACCCAGTTGCTTGTCACCCTACCGCCACCAAATCCAAGTCATCCTACTTCTTAAGTTCTCAACTCCAGTCCCTCCTCTTCATCCCCCCAGGCCCTGCCTCTGTGCCCAGGTTGACAGAGCCTTTGGACTAGTCCCACTGTGCCCCCCTCAGGCCCTTGTTCAGCCCTACCCTCATTCTGCTCATCCAAAACCACCATTTTGTTGAGCATTTAGCACCCTGTAGCGATTGTGCTAAATATTTTCCAAGAATCACCTCATTTCATCCCTACTAGGTATTGATATGAACCCAGACTACAGATAAGGAAACTGAGGCCCTAATAGGTATAGCAATCCACCCATGGCCACTCATCCAAGAAGTACAGGAGTCACAGGTAACGAAACCCATGGGGACTAGACTCCTAGGCCCAAGCAGAAAACCACCATCCAGTCCAGCTTCTCTGCTTCATCCACCTGCAGTCATGAGTCTCCCCTTGAGTCAGAAATTGGGTCTTCATCAGTTCTGGGTCCCATGTACCAAGCACAGGGCTGGCCCTGACCAAGAGGCCTTGGCAAACCTTTCCCCATTGACCTCTAGAGGTGGAGGAGGTGATCCCAGCAACTGCTGTAACTACTTGTTTCTACTATGTTGCAGGTTGACTGAAAACTCTTCAAGGGCACAGATCTGAGTTCCCAGAATGTTAAAAGTCTGTGCTTTCAGTAAATATTTGTAGCTGAACCAGTGATAATGATTGCTGTTAAGGCACTAAGAAGTTTCTATTTCCTAGGTACTGTCCTCAATTCTTTATTGTATCAGCTCACAAAAACACTCATGAAGTAAATGCCTTGGTTCCTGTTTTAACAGATGAAGAAACTGATCACAAACTGATGTGCAGAGAAAGAACTAGGCTGATAGCATACAGCTCAGCAAACATTCAACTATGGAGGACTTTTCCTGGGGGTCCAGGTTCAAACCCTGGTCAGAGAACTAGATCCCACATGCCCCAGCTAAGAGCTCAAGACTAAAATCTGGTGAAGCCAAACAAACAAACAAACAAACAAAAAAAGCATTAAAAAAAAAAAGATTCAACTATGGGTAATTTATCTCCAGAGCCTGCCTTCCCCTCCTCGTAGCTCTGTAGCCTCCACAGACCAGCAAGTGTGAACAAGTACACCAGAATCCTAAGGAAAAGGACTGGGGTTTAAGGTCAGCCACTGCCTGCACTGACTTCAAGTGTCCCTCACGACCCCCCTCACAGGGCTGCTGTTAGTATGAGAACATATCAACTAATGTGTGCACATCCCAACAGGATGCCCAGGCCACAGGAAGGGTCTGGGGAAAAAACCTGGATTTACTCACTTAATGTGTTTTGAGCACCTACATTACCCTTTGGGCTTCCCTGGTAGCTCAGACAGGAAAGAATCTGCCTGCAATCCAAGACACGGGGGTTCAGTCCCTAGGTTGGGAAGATTCGCTGGAGAAGGAAATGGCAACCCACTCCAATTTTCTTGCCTGTAGAATTCTATGGACAGGAGCCTGGTGGCCTATAGTCCATGGGGTTGGCAAAGAGTCAGACACGACTGAGCGACTAACACACATTACCTTTTGTCCTGTGCTGAGAACATGAAGATAAAACAGATACAGTATTTGCCCCAAATACTTACATGGGAACATGAAAACGAATGAAGGCTGTCAACATGCAGAAAGCCTCTATGTGCTCTTTTGGGGTGTGGGGGGAGTGTTGGAGGAGTTTGGTGGAGAGCTGGGGGTGGGGATTGTCAGGGACAGGACTGAAGAGTAAGACCAGGGGTTGAAGAGGCTGACCCACATTCCTACAGAAACAAGACTCAGGAGGCAGTGGGGAGATGGGAGGAGGGTAAGTGGAAGGTGCTGGTGGTGGCTCCAGGCCACAAAGAAGTTCCAAGCATAATGAGGAGGCCCAAATATGGCTGCCACTTGGGGAGCAGGGGCCGCTCAGCAAAAGGCTTTCTGCTTTCTGAGTTGTGCCACACGGCTTGCAGAATCTTCGTTTCCCCACCAGGGATTGAACTCATGCCCTCTGCAGTGGGAAGTGAGGAAGCCCCGTAAAGGGCTTCCTTAGGTGTGCATGCATGTGTGCTAAGTCGCTTCAGTCGTGTCCCACTCTCTGCGACCCCATGGACTGTAGCCCACCAGGCTCCTCCATCCATGGGGTTCTCCAGGCAAGAATACTGGAGTGGGCTGCCATGCCCTCCTCCAAGGGATCTTCCCCATTCAGGGATCGAATTTGAGTCTCCTGCACTGGCAGGCAGATTCTTTACTGCTGAGCCATGGGAAGCCCCTTCTTATGTGTTAGTGGGATCAATAGTAAGACTGTCCTCAGAAGAGAGAGGTGAAAAGCAAGTGAGAGGATGCAGGTACAGCAGTCAGCACTATACTTGGCACATATTAAACACTCATAAGTAACAATTTTAAGGAGAAAGGTTCTGGAGCCAGAAGGACCAGGTTCAAATTCCTGGTTCTACCGTTTCCTCTCCACGTGACCTTGACCTTAGCTTCCTCTGAAAATGAGGATAACAATTCCCACCTCATAGAGTTGTTGTGAGGGTTCAGTGAGCAAATAAATAAAAAGCAGCCTGTGCAGTCAATACAGAAGTACCAACTACAGTATGTACATCCTATAGAAGCATCATCAGTACAAGCACCCAGCCCAGAGAAGCTCAGGGACCTGTTGCAAGTCACCCAGCAAGTGAGGAGCGTGTGGGCAATGGAACCTAGGCCTGTCCAGGCCACTCACCAGCGGCTCCAAGTCCGGCACACTCGCATGCAAATGCATAGCTCTCGGGGCCCGAGGTGCTGGAAGACACGGAGCCAGGCGGCGCGGGGCAGGGGGTGGTCGGATCCAGCAGCCAAAGGCAGCGTGTCGGGCTCGGGACTTCGAGGCGGGGGCCGAACCACATGCCGCTCCAGCTGTGGGGGCCGGGGCGGGGGTGCGGGGCCCAGGGGCCAGCTGAGGAGGGGCCCTCCGCCGCCAGGGCGCACAGCCCGCCGCCCCCCGCGGTTCTCCTTCTCGCCCGAGCTGCCCCGGGCTGGCCGTCGCCCATTCCGGGCCTCGCCAGGAGCCTCATCCTCACTCAGCGATGTGCCTGATGAGTCGGAGTCTGAGTCGGAATCCGAGGAGGATGAGGATGTGTCGGGCACCCGCTCCAGCAGCTGGCACATCCGCTTGAAGCGCTCGAGCTTCTCCCGCTGGGGTGACGGGGAAGGCACCGCCGGGCCCTCAGCAGAGGCCAAAGGCGGCTTTGGTTTCTGCAGGGAGAGATGAAAGCTGTTCTAGGGCCTGGCACCTGCCTTCCCACCCCCCAACCCCCAAGGAGTCACCGGCGGGATGAACAGCCGGAGGGACAGTCCTGAGTTCCTGCCCTGTGGAGCCTCAGTCAAGTCATGCCCACTCTGGACTTCTCACTTTCCTTATCTGTCACAGGAAGGTGCTGATGCAAAGAATTCAAAGACTTATGTGTCTCGATAGCTTATGAGTTTCCAAAAGCAGTGAGGTGTGGAGAACAGTTACAAATCTAGTTTTGCATATTGACCTGGCTATCAATTCTCTGGGTGACCTTGGGAAGCCCCTTTCTCATCATCTACAACACTGAAAGCTGGACCAAACAACTTCGAGTGTCTCTGCAATGAGACGAGAGTAACAACGATCATCCGGCCCTGGGCGGAACCTCCCACCCTCGCTGACTCATGACATCCTCACAGCGCAGGGATGCAGTGGCTACTTGGCCCACTCTTTCCAGATATGAGGAAATGTAGGCTCCGAGAGATTATGGAACTTGCCCAAGGTGACAAACTGACAAATGGCAGAGGAAGAATTTGAACGCAGTCAAGCAGACCCTGGCATTTGATGTGTCAGTGCAAAGTGACAGCTGAATGCGAGTTTTCCTGTGTGACCTTGGACAAGTCTTCAAACTTCTCTGGGCCTTACTTCCCTCAAATCTAGTCCCTTTGCAGTTTACAAAACTCAGTTAATGTCATTAAACAGCTTTGTGGCACAGACTGGGTTAGGAAAGTGGTATCATGTCTATTTCACTGATGAGGAAACTGAAGCCCAGAGCAGCTGATAAGCTGCCAAGACCAATCAGCAAGTCAATGGTTGAACAGGGATTTGAACTCAGTTCTTTCCCCTTAAAGGTTTGGAAAGATGAGGCAAATGGGTCAAACGATACCCCAAGGGTTCTTGGCAAGTCTAGGGCTCTTGTGGTCTGGCCCCAACCCACTCTTCCCCTCTACTCTTCCCAGGGGCCCAACTGCCTGCCCATCATGGCCAAGGGGTGGGGTAGGACAAGGTAGGCAGGAAAGGACAGATTTCTGTCTCCAGGATAGAGGGTGGGGCAAAGGAAAGTGGGAAGGGGAGGGAGGAGGTCCCCGGCACACCTCCCAGTTCTCGGGAGGGAGCCCAGGGTGGCAGGACGAGAAAGCCTGGCTCGGATTCAGAACCCTGGGGGGCAGAAGGCCGGGGCCGCCTGGGTCCGATCCTCGGAGGAGGCAGGCGTCTCCACCCACCTTCTTCAGGTGCCTTTCTCGGCCTCCTTTCACCTACCAGGGCAAGAAGGAGACAGGGGGCAAGGGAGAAATGCCATTAGCCCCTGGTTGTCCACAAAACTAAGATCTATGCTCGCCTCTTAAAACTACAAATCCCAGAAGCCCCCACCTCAGAGAGAACTCTGAGCATGCTCATCCGGTAACCAGTGTCTTGGCTCACTGAGCATGCTCTCATCTTCGCTTTCTTCCCCCTCAGGCCCTTTCCAGCCCCTCCTTCCTCCTCTGCAGCAGCTAATTTGAGCATGCTCTCTCCCTCCTCCCTAAAGCACCCAAAGCTTCCCTATCCAGCGCCAGTAGCTTCTCACCTGTACCTCTCCTCCACACTGAACATGCGCTGTCCTCCCACCTGAAATTCCGAACTACATCTCCCAGCAACCCCTGGGGGGAACCCATGAAGCTAAATGTCCCAGGTTCCCCCCAAAAGCAACAGACTACAGCTCCCAAAATCCCTTAGGCTGGATCGAGTGAGCATGCTCCCTGGCTCACCTTTTTCCTTGGGGTAGGGGGCTCATTCCCTGCCTCCCTCTCCTTTCTTTTGGGGGGCCCAGGCACGTCCTCTGGGGGGGGCCCAGCAGGTAAGGGACCTTTGCGCCTGGGTGGAGGTGGTGGAAGTGGCGGCTCCTCCGTCAGCTTCCATCCACTCCCCAGGCTGGCGCCCTCCTCGCCGTTGTCAGCCCTGCGGCGGCCTGGTCCCTCACCTGAATCCTGGGGAGATGGAAGCTGAGGGTAAGGTTCTGCACCAACCCCCGACCTCCTGCCTACCCAGAGCCTGGCACCCACCCAAGCCCCAGCCTCTACCTTGCTGGTCCGGCCTTCCTGGGTGCAGCGAGGGCACTCCCAGCAGTTGGGGATCTCTGCATTGATGACACCCTCAGCCTTCCCCATCTGTAGACAGAGGCAGGGAGTGGATGTCAGGTGTCAAAAAACCCAAGAGGCATCCTACCCCAGCTCCCTGACAGTCCGAGCCCCACCCCGGCCTCCAGGGTCGCCACAACCATCACCTTCAGGCAGCCAGGGTGGACGATCTCATTGCAGATTGTACACTCCATGAGGCTCAAACCAAATTTCTCTTCCTCTCCCTCCACTGTGTCCTCCTTCCCAGCCTCCCCACACAAGAGGCATACAGCTGTGTGTGGCAGCACAGGCTGTTGGGGGAAAGAGGGGTGTCAGGGACCCCAAAAGCAAGCCACAGGAATAAGACCGTTCTTTCTGGGGGCCCCGGCCAGATGTGAGATGACGTTTAGAACCCAGGGGGGCAAGCTGGTCAAATCCTGAATTTGTTCCTTTTTGGCAGTAGGACCTTGAACTGCTTTAACCCCCTTATGTCTTTCTCCATCTGTCAAATGGGGCTAGGAAGTTTTTCCTTGCAGGACTGTCATAAAAATGAGATAATGCAGAAAAGGTAGTAGATACACAGTTGTCACTGTTGACGGCTGCATCTGGATCCAGGGCCTGGGTAACCTGATGTGGTAGCTGGCTTTGGGAAAGGAGGGAAGACTATATGCCAAGGTGACAGCAAACTCAGAGAGAGCTGGAGGGAACATGGAGACAGCTTGGGGTGAGTCTGAGTTTGTTCAATGAGCCGTATGGGGGTTGCCCTGGACCCCACAATGAACCCGGTTTTGGCAAGACCCCTGGGAACACTAAGGGCAGCTGGCTGACCTTAGGGAAGGGAGAGCAGCTCTCAGACAATATGACTTTAGGAAAAAAATCAGGGGTAATACTGAGTCATATCAAGAAAGTTGTGAGGCAGGCTCAGGGAAGCAGCAGGTGGGGAAGAAGAAAACTGAGGCAAGGGTCAGGGGACAAAGGAAAACAGGAGGCGCTGTGGGGCAAGGAGACCAGGAAGGGTGACGGCAGGGAAAAAGGGAGGGGGGTCACGGGGAGCACAGGATGTCGCCGGTCCTACGGCTACTGGGAAAGGACCACTCTCAGGAGGCCTGGGGAGCACTCAGGATGAGGACAGCAGGCACGGCCCCATAGTTCTTGGATACCTACTGTGTGCTGCGCCTGGCAGCAGGTACATTTTTATCCATGCTGTCTGACCTTTACAACTCAGCAAAGGAAACATTTCACAGAGGAGGTACCTTGAGGGTCACAGTGATTTGCCCAAGGTCACACAGTGGGTAAGACTAGCATCAAATCCGAGAGCACCCTCACAGGTGAAAAGGAGGCCAAAGAAGGCAAAGACCCATTCCTGGCTCTGGGGAGGGGGTCCAAGGGGGCCCGAGCTTTCTATGGGTCTCTGCCTCTTAAAGTTGGGGAAAGCCTGAAGGTAGGGAGTGGGAGGGATTCTTCTGTGGACCCAAACATTGGCCCCAGCTTGAAGCTGAGGACAGAAATGGGCCTGGCGGATATGTGAACCAGCCAGTGAATGAATGAGCGAACCTATGGCAACTTTCCATGACCCTGAGCAGAGTCACCCCCAGCCCCCCACATAGGTACTGAGGTCAGCTGGGGAAGGGTGCCCCCCTGCAGCAGGGGCAGAACTCACGGCAGTGCACTGCCGCAGCAGGCACGACTGCTTCATGCGCCCGGGCCCCCCGAACTTCTTCATGTCTCGGCAGAAGTGGCAGTCCCCGCACTCAGTTCGCACACAGGCCCGGCAGCGGCGGCAGCGGGTTCGGCGTCGGCGCGCTCCGGCCCCCGGCCCCCGGCTGCTCGACGACATTGGGGGCGTCAGCAACGCCGAGGGCTGTGGGTGGAGGGTGGCAAGGTCAGGGGGGCCCACAGGGATCCTGGCCGGCAAGACTCCTGGCAGCTTTGCCCCCAATCCTAGGCAGCCAGAGCTTGGCTTCCTACCCAGGGAGACAAGGAACACGGAGGTTCCCCTCCTGCGGAAGGTCAGAGGAACCCCCCTCCCTCTAGGCAAGGCCACCCTCTTCCTGAAGCAGCTCACTTGGCTCCTCCGGGAGCCCTGAGAACTAGCTTGCTGACCTCACTCCTACTCTAACATTTCTTCCATACTCCCACGCCTGACCCAGGGAGGACGAAGGGACACCGAGAGGGACAAGGGCCTTTCCATGGTATTCCCGCAGCGAAGCTCCTGGGACAACCAGGGGCTCCTTGTCTGTGGAGTCACCTGAGACAGGTCCCAACTCTTCCCCTGTTCTCCAAATGTGGTCCATCCCTGGCTCTCCCCAAGGTTAAACACCCCAAATTTACCTCCCAGATCCCCACAGATTCCTGATCACCAAATCCAGACCTCATCTCTCAGAAGCTACTAACCCCCAACTCCTCTTCCCCTAAAGCCTAGATTTCCTCCTCAGATTCAATGGGAACCTGCTCACTCAATCTAACCCCTAAAGATCCACCGGGCTACCCAACTTCCCAGCGCTCACAGACCTTCTTTGAGACGCTGCTTTAGAACGCCTCCGTGGCCCCAAATTTCAACTATGTTCCACACAGATCGCCCTCTGCTCCAACACAGCCTCCTTGTGGGTCTCCAGGTAAACCTGGGCAATCTCCCAGATTCCCTGGGATTCTAGAATCCAGCCTGACATCTCCATAGAACTCAAGATGGGCTCATGTGCACCGCCCCCTGCCTCCCAGCTTCCCAAGCTGCTTTCCATCCCTAATTGTCTGGAATCCCTTGGGCTCCTCTTCCCAGGGAAACCAGATCCTCCAAGATCCCACACAGATTCAGCAGGCCTGGAGGGTCTCTTCATATCCAGAGTCTTACCCCAGCTTCACCCTTTCCAGACCCATCCATGGGGGGAAAGGAGCCCTCCAGCGCTCCAGGGGAGGGGTCTTGGAGGGCTGCAACCGCAGGCGGGGATGGGGGTCTGCAAGGCGAAGCAGGGTCGAGGAAGGAAGGCCAGTTCCCCAGGGTTGAGAGGTAACAGGAAAGAGGGCTGGAGATGAGGAGTTTGGCGCAAAGAGAGGGTGAGGCTGGGGGCGGGCAAGGTAGAGAGAGGCCGGGCTGAGGATGAATGGACTGGGAGCTGCCCAGGTCTGGGGGTGAGGAGGAGCCGCATGAACCCACCTCACACGTGTCCCGGGAGCCATCTCTCCCTTCTCGGCAGCTCCCGGCGGGTCGGCGGCCATCGGCGGCGGGGGGGCCGGGCGGCGCGGGGCGCGGAACGCTCAGAACGCCGGGGTCCACGGCCCCCCGAGGGCGCTCGGCCCCTCCCTCCGGCGGAGGCCGGGACGGCGGCGAGTGCAGATGGGGGGCGCCGGGGGCGAGGCCCTCCCACGGGCTGCGGCGCGGCCCTTCCAGGGGGAGGTCCTGCTCTGGGGGGCTCAGTCCCTCAGTACCCCCAGGCCAACGGGGGCTCTTCGGGCGCAGGGTGCACAGCTTCTGCCCGGGCCCCACTCAGTGCGGGGGTCCGAGTCCCAGCTCCCCTCCCCCACGACCCTCGGGAGATAGAGATTTAAATAAAATTTGAATAAACCCCCTTCCTCAAGCTGGAGGGTGGATGGAAAGGATGGAAGGGGACAGGAAAAGGGGGATGGGGCAATAGGCGTGCCTCAGCCACCCTGGTCCCCCGGCCCCGCGCTGCTTCGGCTCGGGGCCCTGGCCGCCTCTCTCATCCCTCCTGAGCTCCTTCCTCCTTCCTCCTCTCTTCCCCCTCCCCTCCCCTCCCCTCCCTCCTCCTTCCCTCCTCCTCCTCCTCTTTACTCCCTCCTTCTCGCAGAGGAACTGCGACCCCTGCCCCCTCCTTATCCCCCCACCTCCACTTTTCAGGACTAACGTGCGCAGGGCACGACGGAAGTAGTAGTCCGAGGGCCCCTGGTGCTACCGTGGGATCAATGGGATGCTGTGGTCAGCGGGAACTACAAACGAGATGGCGGAGCACGTGTCAAACTCGGAGTGTAGGGTGCCGGGAGTTATAGTCCGGTTGCCCCAAGGCTCCAACTTGCAGAGTACAGAGGAATGGGAACGATGACTACAGACAAGATGGCCTTCTACCCCTGTCCGACCTCCTTCCCATGCACTCACACGCCCTCCTGTCCACAACCCTCCGCGTCTGTGATACCTGATGGGAGTCGCAGTCCGTCTGCTGCCTTACCGCTGCCATTTCTACTCTTCAGGAACAATGGAAAGGTGAAAAGGAACGAGGACTACAAGCAAGATGGCGGAAGAGGGGCGGACACCTGACTAGTAGTCCATCTTATGAGGTGCGATGGGAATAGTAGTTTCCTAGCCTTCTAGAGTTCCTTAAGAATGGCAGGGCCAAGAGGATAAGGAGACTACCATAAAAATGGCAGGCAACCTAGGCTCTCGCGGTGGCCTCACTCTACCACCTTGGAACCTCGCCCTCCTGCAATATCGAAATTCCCCTCCTCTTGGCGCAAAGCTTAACGGGAGTTGCAGTCTTCCCGGCTCCCTTCTATTATCTTCGTTCAGACAATGGAAGGGGAAAGGGGCGGGGTCTACCAGCAAAGGTGGCCGCTGGAGGAATGGGGAGACGGTGACCTGGGATGTGTAGTTCATTCGCTAAGGCTACTCCCTGTGGAAACAGGAGAAAAGACTACAATAAAGATGGCGGCCTAGCGCATCCTCTGCACCAGTGCCTGCTGGGGGACGTAGTCCCTTTGGCTCAACAGAGAAAGGACGTGGGCTGGTGAAATGTGCATCAACGCCGACAGTCCAAATAGAGAGCGGGTGAAAACGAGAGTCTCTCCTTCTCTCCTCGCCACCCGCTTCTGACGACCTGCCAGGAAATGTAGTCTCATACCTTCACTCGCTGGTGGAGGGAAGTATTTCTCTCGCCAGTGGGGATCAATGCGGGTAGGGGAGAAAAGACCTCCGAGAGATCCAACAATATATAATATCCGCCTCCCCGTGTGGCGGGGATTTCATCTTTCAGGGGAAGGCTCTTAAAGGAAAGCAACAGTAATCAGTATGGTCGCGACAAGGGAGGCGTGGTTCTTGCCGACATTGCTATCACGCTGTTGTCCCTTGGAAAGCTTCGACTCCTCACACCTGATGCTTGTTCCCCCAAACCTCAGAGAGTCGGTAGCTTCCAAGTCGGGAGAGCTCCAGGGAAAAGGCCCCGGAGTCATACAAAATCCCCACCCCTCCTTGGGAAGTCACCAAACCTCGATTTTTCTCATCTGAAGAGTGGGGATAATGATACCTACCTCGAAGGAGAGTGTTATCACAGTGTTCACGAAAATGCCCACCTTCAGGGCCTGATACACGGCACGTGTTGGTAGTTCCTTTCTCGAGGGCTCTTCCAGCCCAGCTGTTTTGGGATCCCAGGTGTCCGTCATGCCGGAAGGAGTTAGCTCCTGGGAGAAGGAAACTGTGCCAGGCAGTCTACCCCATCTTGAGGTAGACTGCTCCCCCGCCCCTCATCTGGGTCCTTCGGTGTCCACTACCGATTACTGCTCCTAGGGGGCGCCCATTCTCCATTTGATTGAGGTCCAACAAACTGATCAGATTCCTCAACCTAAAGTTGTGGTCGCTGCAAATTGCCCAGCCAGTCTTGGAGGCACCCCCGCCCCCTCGCTTCACCCCCCTCCCGTTCCCCGCTAAACACCGCAGCTGCCAAGGCAAACCGGCCTGCTTCCTCCCACTGTACCTTCTGACCTGCCTCCTTAGTCTTCCTCCTCTGCCTGCAAAACAATTTTGAGCCCTGTGGTTCGAGGGCCTTGCGGAAGATTTGGTGAGTGTGGTTCTTCTGGCAAGGAATTGAACGCAGGCTGGCTGGTGTGATGTGAAGCCCTAAATTTGCAGGGACTGGCTACAGGCTGAACTGAGAGGTTCCTTCTAGCTCACAGTGTGTTTAGGAAATCCTTGACTCCCGGAAGATTGTTTGCTCTTCGGCCTCACTGCTTTAGTTTGGGCTTGCATCATTCCCTAGGGATTTTTCTGGAGCCAGTCCCTCTACCGATTAGCTTCTTCCCTTCCACCCTTCTCACCGCTGCACCCAGTTAACTGTTCATCTTCAGGTTTGTGTCCCAAAGAAGCCTTCATGTGTGTAACTCCCGGATGAGATTCAGCTGACTCTTCCCCTGTATATAAGCTGTATGAAGAGTCCGTCTCCTATGAGCTTTCAGCATCTCATTTGATCCTCATGAGAATCCTGTTGACGATCTCATTTTATAGATGAGGAAACTGGGAATGACTGAGTGATAAATCTAGGATTCAGAGCTTCTCTGGGGGTCTGTCTAGTGGTAAAGAATTCGCCAGCTAATGCAAGAGACCCAAGTTTGAACCTTGGTCTGGGAAGATCCCCCATAATGCAGAGAAACAAAGCCTGAGCGCCTACCTGTGCTCCCGACCAAAAGAAGCTACCCCAAAGAGAAGCCTGCACATCCCGACAAAGAGTGGCCCGCGCCACAACTGGAGAAAGCCTGCATGCAGGAATAATGACCCAGCACAGCCGAAAATAAATACATAAATAAATGAAGTTTAGAAAGGAATATAAAATCATAAAAATAATTAGTATCATAAAATAATTTTTTCTAAAAAAGCTAGTTTTCCCAAGGCCTCAGAGCCCATCTTAAGAATTATAGCATCTGCCAGTTGATCAGGTCCAGCCTCTGTGTGTTAAGTTTGGCAGAGGAACCACACATTTCTTTCACTTGGAATGCAGCAACAGTGAGTCTGCATTCTTTGTTTCCTTGAATAAGAAACAGCTGGTGCAGAACTGTGGCTGCCCCTTTGGGATAAGACAAGTGCTCGCTAGATCCACACAGTCTCCATCCAGCTTGCTTCAGTCCCAGCAGAAGCATTACTGGCCCCACTTCATTAACTGAGACTCGAACATAAGCCTACTGAAGGTCAAGGCCGTTTCTCACACTCTATAGAGCACCTCAGGGCCAGATGGTGTGCCAGCACCCCTGGCTGGCTTGATAGAGAGATCGCTGAGTGTGACTGCATACAGAGATACAACAGGACTTTTTTTTTTCCACTTTATAACCTACTCTGCACTTTGACATTTTTACCATAAGCAGATATTTTTTTGTATATACTTAAAACAGCTTTCCCCAGTAACTCAGCAGTAAAGAATCTGTCTGTAATGCAGGAAACACAGGTTCAACCCCTGGTTGGGGAAGATCTGCTGGAGGAGGGCATGACACCCCACTCCAGTATTCCCACCTAGACAACCCATGGACTGAGGAGCCTGACAGGCTACAGTCCATAGGGTTGCAGGGAGTCGGACAGGACTGAAAGGACTGAGCAGGCCTACTTAGAATATGAATTGCAAATACTACAATCCAGCCACGTTGACATTAAAATATAAAAACAACAGTCAAAGCTTCTCAGCCATAAGTGAACTCAAGGTTTACAGCACCCATAAGTCCCTTTTCCTTTGCACAAAAAATGCCTGTCTTCTGCCCACCTTATTTACACATTTTGTCTAAGAACCATCGGAAAGATGGCTTATGGCACTCGGGGTGGTGGTTTCCTATATGAGGGACTGGGGCTGCAGACCACATTGAGAAACAGGTGCACCATTCAGTCTCCTGTGGGGAGCTGCTGAAAAGGGATGGAGGGCTCCTGCCGGCTCTCAGAACCATCCACAACCTTGGATTGAGCTCACTGAATTCAAGAGCTGGAGCAGCCCATTGATCATGAAGTTCCTTTTCAGCAGTGAGTGCTCTTCTAGAAGCTCCAGATCTCTCCTGGATTTGTGTAGAAGGCCACAGCTTCTGTATCAGTCAGTGTAGGTGAAGTTATGCTGCAGTAACAAAGAACACCAGGTTTGGGTGGCTACAGCAACTAAGGTCTGTTTCAGGCTCATGCTGTGTGTCTCGTGTTGGTGAGTGGGGAGAGGTCTGCTCACTCTAGTTCCCCAGGGATTAAGGCCAAGGGAAGAGGCTCCACCTGGATATGAGCTTCCATAATCACCATCCAATCACCGATGAATAGAGGGAGGAGGACTTGGTGAAACATGGCCTGGCTTCTATAGCTTCTGCCCAGAAGTGACACAGGACAGTTGTGCTCACAGTGTATTGACTAATCCATAGCTTTCCCTAGTTTCAAAGTGGGCGGAGACAGGAACTCCTTCCACTTTCATCCTGGAAGGAAAAGAACTAGAATGCCTGTGAGTGCCTGCTAAGT